TCAGGGAAAGGAAATGATATGTTGAGGCATTTCATTTCCTAGAACAGACAGAAGTGATCTGATTGATCATCGTCTCTCCAGAGAAAGGGCTATTATGTTCTCTTAGCTCCTTAACACTAGCCATAAGGTCATTCCCATTTCCATTGAATCTAGTTTCATATTCATCAAGCCAACTTCCGGTTAAAATTGAGTTTACAGTATACCTTCTAAATAAAAGAGAACCACATATCCACAAACTAATACATTACAGGGTCCCTGGATATATAGGGCATGCCATTACTGAGAAGTATCATTATCATTGAATAAACATCCATGCACTGACCACCCAGTTTTGTTTAAATATGTAGTTTATTACTCATCTGGTGAAAAATCAACACAGATCAAGCACGTGCCATTTCTTTCATCATTGTTAGTACTGGTACTTGCAGTTCTCATAGCTTTATTCCTTTCAATGTTTTCGTAAGGTCCTTCTCATGCAGGGCATGTCTGACAATCCTATTTTAGCTTTTTCATAGTGTGGCTTAAGCAGTCGTAAAACATGCCTGTTATCTTGCCATTTCTCAAGTGGGTTCTGAATTCAAAGAAAACATAGATGACAGCTGGTATGGTCTTGTGTATTTTGGGATTTTCTCTGAGTATTTTAGGTACTATTGCTTTTCCAGAGTGAAGGAAATTAGCTTGGCCTGTTATTACAGTACTTACAGAAATAGTCTAGACTGCATAATTTATAAAGATAGAGGTTTATGTGACTCACGATTCTGATGGCTGGAAAGTTCTAAGGCAATACAAAATGACAGAGGATAGAACTTTGAGCATAGTCTAGTCTGTGTCTCTGGACTTCTGCATGCCTTTAGTGTGATAAGAGAAAACCAAAGGACAAAGCGAATTTAAATAGATGCATAAAGAAAACTACACAAAGTTGTTCACTTTTTAGGTTGCACGGTTAAGGAATACCTTAAGGAGTATTTGTACGATTCCTTCCTAACAAGGCACTAGCAGAGTAAGCTAGTGCAAGGCCTTAAGTGGTTCCTTATAAGTCTACCTAACTGGGCCAACCACCCAGGTGGTATGATGGTTAAGGCAGCTGGATTCCACATGGCTGAAAGTGTGGTTCAAGTCCCAGATGGGTGACTTGAAAAATTCTCTGTGTGTATGTGCACCCAAAATCTCAAGAGGAGAGTGGAGGAGAAAGGATTGTGGAGTAGCCACCTCCGCCGGAGGGTTATTTCTCACCATCTTTCTCCAGTAAGCACACAAACCCTATGGCAAACATCTAAAAAACAAATAAATCTTCCTGACTCAGTGGTGGTAGCCCCTAAACACCTGAATCTCTAATCTCTTCCCCCAGTCACTAATCTCTTCTCAAAGTCCCACTTACAACATCATAATTGGATCAACTTTGCGCTCTCTTAATCTCATTACAATGGCTCAATACATGAATTTTGGGAGACATTCAAACTATAACAGACATCTTATCCATTCAAACAATCCACCAGTGAAGAACTTCCTAGTCTGGATAATTAATAGGTCATTCATGATGGCTGCTGGATATCAAAGGGCAAATTTTACTCTATTGACAAATTTATGTGTGCATGTGTGTTTTTTAGTTCTAACATACAGTTAAAGCTGCCAAGTATTTCTCTCTAATGCCATTCCCTTCTTCCTCTTCTATAGAAGTAAACTGCAAACTTGAATTTAGTGTTTATATTTCCATCGCACATTTTTATACCGTTAACACATGCATGGATCCCTAAAGAATATATTGACTATTTTAAGTTTTATATAAATAGGATCTTACTGTATTATTTTGTAACTCGCCTTATGTCTCCACGATGAGATTTACTCATAGGTTTTCTTTCACTTATTCTCACTGCTGTATACTATTCCACTGCATGAATATGCCACTCCATTGCCCTATGAATGTTTAGTTCTAGCTTTCACGTATACACAATGAATCTTAAGCTCCACATGTACTAGTTTGTCTAGAAGACAAAGAAATTTCTTGCTGATAAGGTATATGAATTTTATCTGACATCATTGAATTGCTCTCTAGAGTTGATGTGCCAGTGTATTTTCTCACTAACAGTGTATGAGTTCCTACTTCACCATATGTTTGCTAATCCTTGATAGGGTCAGGCATTTTTCTAACTAATAAATTGGTATTTTTATTTATACATCAGTTTCTTGTGAGTTTGATTAGTATACATAAATCACCCTTGTTGTAGTTTCTAGACCTGTAGAACTCACGATTTGGCTGTGAATCTGATGAAGAAGATGAAAAATAAGCTATAGGCTTGAGAAATATTTACAAGCCATGTATCCAACAAAGGATGATTAGTATCTAGAATACATAAAGAACCCTCGAGACTCAACAGTTAAAAAAATAGTGAAAATATTTAGAAAATAGGCAAAAGAACACAGACATCTTACTGAATAAAATATAAGATGGCAAGTAAGTACTTGAAACAGTGTTCTACATCATTAGTTATTAGGAAAATGCAAATTAAAACCACAATGTAATATCCACTATTAAATGGCTAAAATAAAAAATATCAACAATAGCAAATGAGGGCAAGGATGCACAGAGATTGGATCACTTATACATTGCTGGTAGGAATATAAAATGGTAGGTACTCTGGAAAATAGCTCAGTAGTTTTTGAAAACTTCAAGGGCCAGACAGTAGTGCAGTGGTAAAATGCAATGACCTGAGGATGACTCACATGAGAAGGGTCTGGGTTCATAGCTAGAGACCTCCATGAGTATGCTGGACACACACATGCCCATGACCCAGGACCAGCTGAGGCTGGGGGTAAATCGTGGTATCAAGACAGGTAGGTGCATTGTATTTCTCATGGAATAAACACACTTGAAACAAAACATGACACCACTATATGATCAAGCAAATGCACTACCTGGCATTGAACCAGAGAAATGAAAATTCATATTCATGGCAGTTTTATGTATTTATAATAACTGGAAACCCAGATGTTCTTCAATGGGTGAATAAACTGTGGTATATCCATACCACAGAGTAATAATAATAAACAAAATCCCCAACAAACCCCAAAACAAAAAACTATTGATATAACCAAGCTATCCCTCCAGAAAATTACATCAAGTGAAAGAAGCCTATTTCAAAAGGTTACATAACATATGACTCCATTGGGAGTCATATTCATTTATTCATTTTTAATTTGACCAGAGAGGTAGAGAGAGAGAGAGAGAGAGAGAGAGAGAGAGAGAGAGAGAGAGAGAGAAGGAAGGAAAGAAGAAAGCCACCGAGAGAAGAAGGAAAGTGAGAAAGCAAACTGCCAGGTCCAGGACTTGAATCGTGTTCAGCTACATGGGAGTCCAGCACCCTTAACCACTATGCCACCTGCTGCCCCCCCCACCCCCCGGGATAACATTCTTGAAGTGACAAAATTATAGAAATAGAGAATAGAGGAGAGGTTGCCAGAGTTTAAAGATTGGGGGGGGGAGGGAAGGGGGTCAAGATGGGAAGGGAGTGGAAAAGGACCATGAGGGATCCTGTAGTGATGGAATGTTCTGTATAGCGTTAATGTCCTGATTGTGCTATGGTACTATAGTTGTGCAAGATGTTACCACTGAGAGAAACTGTGTAAAGAGTATATGAGATCTCTCTGAATGTTTCTTATAACTGCACATAAATCTACTATCATCTTAAAATGCTTTCTAAAAGTCTAGTATTCTGTATCTATAACTTCTTAATTAAAGGTTAATGAATGTTAAGTCAATTATTTAAAAACCCAGCTTATTGTTTTGAATATCAATCATATGGGACTGAAAAACAGCAAGACTCATAGAAACTACTAGGTTGGCCTTCTAATTTGGGTTTTCTTAGACAGTCTTTTTTGTTGCTATTAATTCTTGCTATATGGTGTGTGAGCTTGCCAGAAAGAGCGGGAGTGAGAAATCACCAACCAAGGGGATGGTCACATTGCAGTCCCTTAGCCTTCATTCTCTTGGGATTTGGGGCATGCATGCACACATGTCCAGTGTGATTTTCAAGCAGGAACTCCAAACGCAGTCGGCCTATGGGATCCAGTTGCCTTAACTTACAGGCCACCTGCTGGCCCACCAGTCTCTTTTTTGGTCTAATGTGTCCTAATTTCTTCCTGCCCCCCACTTGTTTCTTCTGTTATGGATGAGGAAATCATTCATTCTTCATGTGTTATTTTCAAGCTAACAAGATTTTTTTTTCTTTATTCATGATAGAGCATGTGCAATTAATGTGAGAGAGACACAGAGACAGAGAGACTGAGAGGTGAGATGAGTACCTTCCACAGAATCTGGTCACATCACGATCCCCTTCCTTGTCTTCTAGCCCATTGAACCTGGGTATTTGCATATGTGCCTGATATGTTTTAGGCTGACCAGGCCAGGGATTTAACATGGTCACTGTGTGAGATCTAGACGCTCCTGAGCAGTGCATCCCTGCTGTGTCACGGAGCCAACCCCATCAATAAGATTTTGAATGAGGGCCTTTCTTTTTTTTTTTGGAGAGGTTTTCGCTATAGGGCGCGTGCGCTCGCCAGACAGACAGAAAGAGACAGGGAGATAGAAAGCGAGAAATCACCCCCCAGGGGGGATGGCCACGCCGCAATCCCTTCTCCTCCATTCTCCTCTTGGGATCCTGGGCACGCACGCACACGTGCCCGGCGTGAGTTTAAGCCGCCGGGTCCGGGACACGAACCGCGGTCGACTACGTGGGAGTCCAGCGACATAGCCATTACGCTAACTGCCGGTCCCAATGAGGGCCTTTCTTATGGGATAAGTCCATGGACTTCTTAATCACGATTAGTAGCCCTGGAATATATTAGCTCTTACTTTGAGAGTAAGAACTATATGGATAAATGAAAAAGGTGATGTAGCAGAGTTAACCTTTTCCCCTAATGTCACTAAATTTGTACCGTACACATAAAGTACAAGGAGAATGGCTGAGAAAAATTCTTCCCTTCTGAACAAAATAGTCAGCATGGTAAAGACAGGTATATTTATTTTGTATGACAGCACATTTCACAGGATATGTACAGAATGTCTGTATACCACTGACTTTAATACTGAACTTCTATAAAGTATATAGTTATAAATATTATATGCCACATAAGCAATAAAACTCTTACATATAAACAGCAATCTACTATAGAGAACAAAGAATTCACAAAGAGATCCTTAGTGTCTAATTCTGCTGTCTGTAACAGAACTGGTAAATATTTAATAATACACAGAATAATGGATAGTTACTTGCAGCATACCTTCAGCCTTCATAACTCTGTGCACTTTCAGCAACTTGCCAAATAAAATTTTCCTGATAAAGGCTGAGCTGCTGCTGATATGTATATTCTAGACAGTAGTTTATAGTTAATAGGAAACATCGCTCACAGAACTGTAATGTGCACTACTGAAGTTTACTGAACAATGGGTTACTTTGCTATGGAGAGCAAATACCATATATACTAACCACACAGATGTTAAAGCCACAGTTCCAACAAGTTAATTCACATTTGGAAGCACGCTGCTTATAGTAATACTGCTGTTTAAAAGACACTACTGCTGAAATGATTAGAACCTTCAAAAGCACAATATAAAACTCAAAAGAGTTATTTCTAACAGCAAGTCCTGGCTGTTAACAGAGAGGATTATTTCTATAAATATAGTATTTTGATAACATTTGAGCATTTAGAAAAGTGCCTTTTCTCTAATAGATTTGCTTTATGTTTTAAGTGCGGTGCAGTTTGCTGTGCTTTTATGTTTTACATACTCTTAGTCATTTTTTTAAATATTCCTTCAGTGTACTTCTTTAAAGATTTAATGTGGTCATAGGAGTTTAGGTGGACATATACAACTCTTTATATAAAAGGAACATAAATGAATATAAGTCTTAATGGGTAAAGATGATTCTAACTTAACCTGACAACAAAACAACTATTGCTCAAGGAGTTTTCTAATTGTTTTATTTAATGATATCAAAATACTACATTCTGTAAAAATTCTGTGTACTTCTCAAAAAATTAATAAAAGCAGGATCAGTTGCGTATCGGCAGTGCAGGAGACAAAATCCACAGCTAACTTGAGGTACAGCCTCTAAAACCTTAAAGCAGCATCATAAATGTGTCACGTAGCTTCGTAATAGGGCAGAGAACATAAGCTGGGTTCATCCCCAACCCTATGTACTCTGAGGATGGCTGCTTTCCCTGCTAAAAGCGAAGTTCCAGAGCAAAAGCAGCAAACAGAAAAGTGTGGCTGGGAAATGGGAAACATGGAGCTTAATTGGAGAGAAGAGAGCACATTCTGCTCTAATATTTCTCACTGAACCTGGGGGAATGTGCGTTTCCTGTATATAAGGCCGTAGTGCTTTTCTAAGAGGGCGAGTGTATTCTCCATGTGATAGTCACCACAGAACAGGCTGCTTCCAGCTGCAAGAACCTCCTCCCAGAGAAAAGGATATGGAGGTGCTAGAGTGGAAAATAACAAGGTTAAGGGGCAGGGTGTGGAATGGTAGAAAATTCCAGTTCTGTAGTGAGATTATTCTAGTTTGGGAAATAAAGTCAAGGAAATGTCCAAATTACATGTACAGCCATCTTTTTGGTAATGAGATACTGAAAAAAGGACTTTGTTAGAACTTTTAGGCAAAATTCAGTCTGAGTTATATCTTAGAATTTAAATGATGAGTTTTATAAATATGTAAATGTGTATATATATATATATATATATATATACATACACATGTGTATATATGTGTGCACACACACAACCTTTTTTTAAAGCAATGTCTTTCAAAACTCTGCTCACTATATAACTTTGGCAGCTCTTTGGTAAACACTCATAAATACCAATTGTTAACGATTATGAAAAGGCTGGCAGTAATGTCAGCTAAAGTCATGTAGGCCTTTAGAGATCTTTCAGAAAAGACTGACAAGGAATTTCTGAAAAGGATTAAATATTTCTAAAGTTGTTGTAAGCACTTTTTGGGGCTACTACTGTCTCCTATTCATCCGAAGAGAAACACAACCAAGTCTCCAGTTAATAAAGTGAAGGATATTTCCTTATTTCCAATATACACATATTCCAACTTTGTACACATCAAACAGTGGTATTTAAGAGGATATCAGTGCACTTAACAATTACTTATTGCACATAATGAATAACTAATGCCCTGTTCTTTTGGCTCTACCCTGCCAAAACTAGAAAACAACTGTCCTCTGTCATTCAACATCATCTTTCTGTGAAGTCTAGTGTGGGTGACGCCTTAGATGCCAAGGCTGTGAAAGGGTCTACTGGAGGGCTGGTGCCAGGTGGGAGCAGAGGGACAGGAGGTGGAGGTGGTCTTCTTGATGGCAATGCACAGAAAGAAACATCTGTACCTTTAGTCCAGTCATCATCAAATGTCACGCTGGGGCCAGAAAATGAACCTGGCTGACTGCCTGGTACGTCTTGTGGACAAGTTAACTTTGACTTCCCTTTCACACCAAAGTCCTCTTCTTCCTCAAAGGTTACCCATCCTTTTGGGTTGCTATTTTTTACTGTAGACTGGCCCTGTGGATCAAAACTGTCCTTAAAGCCATCAAGTGAAGATGAAGGCATGCTTCTGGTAAGACTAAGAGGCTTCAGAGAAGGGAACAAACTGTTCGTAACAGGCTCTTCTTTGGAGAACCATGCGGTTGCCTCTGATTCTTGAGACTCAGCTCTAAATGGGTTTCCAGGAGCAGGGGTCCTGTCGGTGAAAGGATTTGTGCTGGTCAGGCTGGTAATAAATGGGTTTGGAGAACTTCGCATGTTTTCCTGGGACTTGCTCCGGGCTGGAATGGGAGGCATTGTCGGCATGCAGCTTACAGAACTCAAAGTATTATCATTACTTTGTGTTGCAGAAGGCAAGTGAATCAACCTCATTGGGTCTGGGGTTAGAACAGGTGATGTCTGAACAGATAGCTGAGCCTTTGATATAGCAAGCAGATTAAATGGCAGATCTTCAAATGGATCACTCTTTGACTCTTCTTGGACTCCATTTGTTTTTGCCTAGAAAATAAAGAGAACATTGAATAATCAGTTTATATTGACTCTTCCTACTCCCTAATCTTTCTTACTTATCCTTCCTTTTTTTGAGCTAGTATACAAATTTAGAAACTAAAAAGCAGCTTTTTATATTTTGTTAACTCTGGTAGTTTAAAGAAGAGCTAGCTAAAATGTTACCCTTAACTCCTTACTCAACATAAATCCTTTTTACTAAATTCACTTTTTTATCCCTCAATAGACAGAATTTATTTCATTCATGCAAATTTTGAGATGGTAAAGAAAACTGCACAGAATTAACACATTTGTTAATGCCCAGTTCTATATTTTTAACACAAACTTAGGAAACCCATATGCAGAACTAATGCTAAATATATATGACTCCCAACACCCGTCTAAGATGATGATGTGGTTTCATTGTTCTTTTCAATATATTTTCATTTGAAATTAATGGTATTATGAAAATTCAATTTTACAGATAAAATATCGTTTTATTAGTATAGTTGTATTCATAAGCTGAAGATTGCATCTTTTCCTTTTCAGAAAAATAAATTTTCAAAGAGTTCTTATTTTTTAATATAAATTCTCCTTTGTAGAATAAACTTTGTGAATAATGTGACACTTTTCCTTAATCAATCTTCCTCATCTTGTAAAAATGTCCCCAAATTATGCTATTAATAACCAAATACAATGATTATTAAAAAACCAGGAAAACTGTTTTCTAGTGGGATATATTAATTCTAAAACCAAAATGAAGGGCAGTCCCATAGCCTAGTGGTTAAGGGAGCTGGATCCCACACGGCCAACTACAGTTCAAATACCAGTCTGATGACTTGAAAAACAGGCCAGCACATGTTCCAAATTCCCACAAGATGGAGAAATGGAGAAGGGACTGCAGCGTGATCACACCCCACTGTGGGTGCTTCCTCGTTCCCTCTCTTGCTCTCTCACACATGAACCCTCTGGCAAATTTAAAAAAATAATATTAATGAATAAATAAAACGGAGCTATGCCCAGAGTGTACAGTCCTTTCTATGTGACAGAGTTTGCTATGTGAGCTATTGTTAGGATAGAGTGTTCCGAATAACCTCACGGTCCTAACAAATTTGCACTTTTCCCATATCCCTTTCTGCCTACTTCACAAAGAGGCTGGCTGGAGGGAGACACAGCCAAGGGCAAGCGCACAGCCAAATAACTGCTCGGGTGGGAAAAAGAATTACGATCCTGGCCTCATGATGAGCAAACTAGCTCATTAGACATTTCATTATTAATTTTTTAAAAAGTAAACATTAAAAACTAGGGTAGAAAACTTGGACACTTATCTCAACTTCAGGATAAGAAAACAAAATTTTAGGATTGGAAAGGACAAGAAAAGAAGAATTTCAACTCAAGACTTGTAACAAAATAGAGTGCTATCCAAAATGAACTTAGATCATTGTTACAGCAAAATTATTAAGCTTTCATGGAATATATTTGGGGAAAAAAAGAGCAACAGTTCCAATAAAATATAGCTCCATGTTATAAAACACTGACTTAGTGCTTAAGAATAGGAAAGGCTATTCACTTGCAAAAGGAAATAGAGCAGATAACTTCTCAAGTGAGTAAGTTCCAAGTATCTGTTTTATCCTGTGTTCCCACAGTATACTTTATAATTGAATGAACAAGTATATTTTTTTCTTCAGACAAACTTAATATGACAAGAAATGTGTTCACAATTAAAGAGTAAACACATCGGAAATTTTAGATGGTATATTCTAAATGTATTAAAGCAGACCTGTATATGAAAATGTACTTGAGAGAAAAACTTATTTTAGACCTTATAAAATTATAATTAACAATAATCTCTCTATTATTTGTGATAAACATAATAAAATGAAAATATCTGATTGAGTCTGGGACCAGATTCTGCTACAGCAGATACAAGAGTCCACAATATAGGCATTATAAAAAAAAGAGTTCTGTGCTTTGCTTTAGCTTAGAATTATAGGCACCTGCTAAATAAATTCTATATAGTTAAATATCTTTATTTTCATACATGAGAAAAAAATTTAATTCAAAATAAGTTAATTTGATAGAACAGGATCATTTTTCCCAATCAGACTTTGAATTACAATGACAGCCACACCACCATTCATCATATTAGGATTGATTTATAATCTATGCAGGATTTGTGAGGATAACTTTAACACTGGTGGTATCTTTACTGAGAAAGGTGTTGGGTCTTTAGATAATGTTAACCTTCATTTTTCTAAATCATCAATCCTTCTTTACTAAAAAGAACTTTGCTACCAAAACTGTTTGAAAAGATTATTTCCCAAATGAAAAACATAATAGATTTGATTATGCCACTTACATTGTAAAATGGTTTAATTACATAACCATTTATGCTTGATTTATGTAATTAAAACCAAGAACCAATCTGATTTTGCCAGATAGGCCTTACCTTTTTAAAGGTATACTTTTTAGTTTTGTTAATTTGCATTAAAATGAAGCAAAAAAAATGGTAAAGCATTAGCAAGAACAACTAAAATGGTTCCTAAAAATACAAAATACTAAGAAAAAGAAAATAGCAGGTTTTATGGTATGATAATAGAATTTATTAATGTGGACAGGTGGTTTTAAAAATGGGTGAAACTTTAGATGTATGAAGCCAAAGATTCATACATCTAATGTGCTGAGACAGATGAAAAGCACATATATGATTGATAAATAGTCAGATACCTGTTACCCTGAAGGTTGCTCCTGCTTTGAGAAAGGGAACACAGACATTAAAGGAAAGAGTTAGGAGGACAATCTGACCAGCAACCCTAACAATTCAATCATCCAGTTTATTGTCACATACAGAATCCAAGAGCAGCAATACTTGCAGGTTGTTCATAAGTCCAAACGACAATTCCAGTTCCTTTTGTAATTTTGTAGAATTAGGCTCTAGACTTTACTTCTGAGGTTAATTACTAACTAGTTCAAAGTTTTGTTATTCTAAGACTAATATTCCAAATGTTTTCAAAGCTCTAAAATATTTTAAGCAGTCTGCTTTGAGCTGAATGTTTGTGTCCCCCCAAAACTCATATGCTAAAACTCTTTTTTTTTTTTTTTAATGGAACGCTTCACGAATTTGCGTGTCATCCTTGCGCAGGGGCCATGCTAATCTTCTCTGTAACGTTCACAATTTTAGTATATGTGCTGCCGAAGCGAGCACTATGCTAAAACTCTTAACCCCCAATACAGTGTGATATTTGGAGGTAGGGCCTTTGGGAGATAATTTGACTTTACTTCTGAGGTTAATTACTAACTAGTTCAAAGTTTTGTTATTCTAAGACTAATATTCCAAATGTTTTCAAAGCTCTAAAATATTTTAAGCAGTCTGCTTTGAGCTGAATGTTTGTGTCCCCCCAAAACTCATATGCTAAAACTCTTTTTTTTTTTTTTAATGGAACGCTTCACGAATTTGCGTGTCATCCTTGCGCAGGGGCCATGCTAATCTTCTCTGTAACGTTCACAATTTTAGTATATGTGCTGCCGAAGCGAGCACTATGCTAAAACTCTTAACCCCCAATACAGTGTGATATTTGGAGGTAGGGCCTTTGGGAGATAATTTGGGTTAGAAGAGGTCATGAAGGTGGGTCCCCCGAAATGGGATTAATGCCTTTATGTATCTACACACCAGAAAGCTGTGTGCACGTGTGCTCCTGCTCACTCTCTCTTCCCAAGTGTACGCCAAAGGAAAGGCCATGTGAGTGGATAGTGAGCATATGACTTTCAGCAAGCCAGGGAGAGGGCCCTCAGAACCCAACCATGCAGGCACCCTGATCGCAGACTCCTGACCTCCAGAACTGTGAGAGAAGAAATTTCTGTTGTCTGAGCCATCCAGTGTGTGGTATTTCATCTGAAAACTCGAGCATACTAAGATAGCCCTGAGATAGTCTATGAATACCTGTATTAGGAAAAAAGTGCACAGAACAGCACCATGCTGCCTAAGTATGAAAATTAGGTTTTAACAAAATGGTCAGGATCCAGGTTTATTCTGTATCACTCAATTTTTCTGGAGGATGATAGGGTTATTATTAATTCACCTCTCAATTTACTAGTTCTAGATTTTACTTTTTGTTGTTTAAAAATGAAATAATAAAAAAGAAATAGCTAATAATCAGAAGACTAAGATGTTGAAAATCAGAGAAGAAAGACATTTGTATACTTTATAAAAGACACATGATGTGTTATATAGTTGAAATAAATAAGTTTTCTATATAGAATTAGAGTCAAACAACACAATTAATAAAAAAGTAAAGTTGGGTCATGTATGTTTTTATGCTTTAAATACTTTGTAGATTTTGGGGACGATTAATCAAGACTTGTAAAAATTACTAAATGTCCAAAACTATTTCAAGTCATTACCAAAATATCAAATCTACCATATTTAATTATTAATATTCAATTATTAGAAGACACTAAGTATTTTTTCAAGTTATAGCTACTTCAGAGAATTTTACATTTTAAAATAAGTATTCTTGTGGTTCAAAGTAAAAGGTACAAAAAAGTAAAAAGCCTCTCCTTTTTCAGTCCCCCAGCCCTGTAAATTCCCTGAGGAAACTGTAACCACTTTGTGACCCTTCCCAGTCTACACATAAACAAAACTCTTATCTTCCAAAAACAGAAAAGTATGTCTGTGTATGAGAGTTCATGAAAAAAAAAAAAAATGTGAGTTTATTTTAGTGCCAAAAAAGAAAAATCTTTGAAGTATTTTTAATTTTCCATGAATTTATTGAATACCTCTTATATATAATGTTCAGAGGAATCTGGTATCAGGCAAAAAGAAAATTTAGAATTTAAAAACAATTTTATCTTTGTCATTTTTGATAAACCAACCATGGCAGGATTCAAGAGCATGACCTACCAGGCCACATGAAAGGCATGTGCTGTCAGCCACCCAATCACCATCCTCATTTCAACAGAAACCAGGAGTCAGACAAGGAATGCTCTGAGAAGATGCTGGTGGGCAGCCATGCCATGTTCCTCCTGTAGCACTGCGTGTCCCAAGTTGATGTCATGCAATCTTAGGACAGTTTGCTCTTTCTGAAGGGTTTAGGGGTACTGTGCCCACTTTAATATTACTCTAAGAATATTTCAACCATGAAAGAGTTTTAGGAATTAAGGTACACTTTCTACTATGAAACGGTCCCCCTAAAACAGGTAGAGAAGGCTCAAAGTGGCTAGTTTGAAAGTTTTTTGCCAGCCAACTACATTTTGAAAACATAATAGTATACATTACAAGAAACAGAGAAATAAAATTTATGACATACACAAAAAAATGAATTGGCAGAGAGAGAAGAACAGGGGATGTTTATTCTTTGCAGGATATCTACCATTATTACATATCTTCAGCATCTTTAATTTTCTGAGTCAAAAAAATGTAGAATATTTTTGGTATTAATCAACTTAAGAGAACACTTTTTTTTTTTTTTTCCTATTATTGCCTTCTTTGGCTTTTACAAATGTGACCTAATAGTCTAAGTAGTGTTAATTGTTAACAATATTCTAGTTGTTTCAAGAGTCTTTTTCACTTTCATATCTGTTTTTCACCATGTAGACACATAAACTTTTAACTTCTGTAATTAGCTGACTGTACCAGTATATTTAAAAAAAAAAAAAAACACGCAAACTATTACATAAAAATATGTTTAAGGGACATGGCCAATGTCATATTTTTTTTTTCTATTTTTGGAGAGGTTTTGGCTACAAGGTGCATGCGCTCGCCAGACAGACAGAGACAGAGAGACAGAAAGCGAGAAATCACCCCCCAGGGGGGATGGCCACACCGCAATCCCTTCTCCTCTGTTCTCCTCTCGGGATCTTGGGCACGCGCGCACACACGCCCGGTGTGAGTTTTAAGCCACCGGGTCCGGGATGCGAACCGCGGTCGACTACATGGGAGTCCAGCAACATAGCCATTACGCTAACTGCTGGTCCCATAATATTTTTGTATTTTAGACCTTTCCAAAGTTCAAAGCAGGATTTTTTTTTAATTTATTATTTTTAAAATTTATTATTATTCATACATTCAATCGTTATACATCATTTAGATTGTAAAGAGACTTTTACCCAGCATGATATACACCTCAGTCCAGCCCAACTGAGAATACTATACACATCCTCATCAACAGAAAAGAAACTGTATCCATGTCCCACAAGTGTCTTTCCTCTCTATTTTTTCCCCAAATATGGAAGATTGGTTGCTGAGTGAAGCAAGTCAGACTATGAAAGAGAGACACTGTATGTCTCTACTTAATATATACCAACTGTCCACTCTCTATGGTAAAGCAGGATTTTGAAATTCATACATTTCTTTGGCCTTGAGCATTATCAAGTTAAGATTTTATATACAGCTAGACAAAAATGTAGTATTAAGATAACTTTGTATAAACATACCAGAAGTCTTTCCAATGTGACATAGCAAGAGCCTCCATGGTCACACAATGTCTATGGACCAAGGCAACAGCCCTATTTTCTGTGAGACACCAAGGAGGGGGTGGCTTTTACTTTGGTAAAGGAGCCTGCTGCTTGCAAGCCCAGACCATCTAAAGCCAGTCCAGTAATGACCGGCTCCAAGCAAGCCCACTGCCAGCTCCAAAGCGGGAAAGAACTACTGCATGCATTAAGAGACACAAAAGGATGATGCAATCTCTGTTTACTGGAAACTAACCATAACATCAATGGTCCAAGGCAGATCTGTCTGCCTCTCTCTCCGGGATGTGAAAGCCAAAACTAATTTACTGCTTTGAGCAGTAAGAAAAATAAATTGCTGTTGTTCAGCCTACTTTGTTAACTATCTAAAGTAAATTATGCATAAAGAAACAAGTCATGATCTTTCAGCATTAACATGAGAAAACCACCTGGGAACCATTTGGAAATGCCCTATAAATTCCTGGTCTAGAATTACTGGAGAGTTTTTGATCTAAGCAATAGGTTAAACAAACCCCCCAAACCCTAGAATAGCCAAAGCAGTCATCTGTTTTGTGATTCATCTGAATGTCAAATGACACTCACTTGTTGAAATCACATTTCAAGATGCTATTAATACCAAAGACAAAAAGAAAATTAAAGCTCATACTTATATTTTACATAAGCTAGTAATTAAAATAAATATGTTCAAAGGCTACACCATATGCCTCAAAGGTAGTATTTTGTTTAACAGTGAGACTTACTTGTAGTTGTGAAGAAGGCTCTGAAGGCAAGCTTTGGGAGGACCTGCTCCGAGGTGGTGGCTGGGGTGGGGTTTCCAAATTTGGCTGGGGGCCAGACTGAGGCAAAGGTGCTACGGTAGGGACAAGAGGTTCCTGTAACTTATGGGAAGATGGAGGCAGAGAAGGCTGCAGAGGAGGAAAAGCCTGAGGCTTCAGTGGCTCAGGCAGGAGAGTTGAACCTAAAAAAAAAACCAAAAACAAAAACAAGGATTGTCAGATACTAGGTATATTTTAGAAAACCTTTTTTTTTTCTTCCTTCTTTAATGAAGTGTTAAGAGGACATTCTTGGGATCAGCAGATGGCGTTATGTTGCTGGACTCCCACATAGTTGACTGTGGTTCTGGACTGGTGACTTAAAATTCACGCCAGGTGTGAGTATGAGTATGCCCAAAATCCCAAGAGGAGAATGGAGGAGAAAGGATTGTGGTGTGGCCATCCTCCTGGGGGATGACCTTTCTGTCCCTGTCTCTCTGGCAAGCACACATGCTCTATAGCAAAAATCTCTCTCTAAAAAAAAGAGGACATTCTCATTCTCACCACCACCACCCCAGAAGTAGCCTCATTTCTTATATAAAGGAATACATTGTGGAAGGTGGGAGATGACAGAGGCAAAGGAAAGGTGAAAAGAAGAGATATAGAACAACTGGTGTTTCTACCAGTCTACCTTTTCTAGCTTCCGGTGGTTTGCTTTGGCTTTCAGGAGTTGGTCTTCCGGCAGATGCTCGAGCATGGCTCTGTGGAGCGCTGATCACTCCAGCACGGGGCGGGATCGTCTACAGATGGGAAGATGACACCCGAGACATTTCCTTACTCTCCAAAGACGAGGTTCTAGAACTGCTTGGGCATCTCATGTACTCTCCTCTCTGGCACTTCCCCTAGTCCTGTCACTTTCATTTCTCTCTATCTGTAGCCATGTAATGACAAATTTAAAAATTTTTCTTTTTATTTTTGACTGTTTACTGTGTGCTGGAGCTATGTCAGTTAAGCACTGTATAGGCATTTTCATTTCATCATAAAAATACTCCTCAGAGGTAGGTATTATTTCATCATCCCTATTTTAAATTAAGATGACAAAATGCAGACAACTTCACCAAGGCCACCTAGTTAAAAGACAGAGCCGAGATTCAGACTCAGGTCTGATGACCTACAGAGCTAGGATTCTTGACTATGTATGAGACTGACTTCATGGTGGAGACTGGGATGATTTTAAAATACATGAGGAGAAAGACAGGAGAGGACTTACAAACATTTGTAGAAAAAATGTTATTAAGAGTTTATTTTTGGGTCAGCAGGTGGCATGGTGGTTAAGGTGCTGGAATTCCCACATGGCCGGCCATGGTTTGAGTCCTGGCCCAGGCGGCTTGCTTTCTCACTCTTCCTCTCTCTCTCTCTTTCTCTGGCAAAACTCATGTGAAAAATAATATCAACAATAATAATAAATAAATAATTCTTTTTTCTAAAAAAAAAAAAAAAAGAGTTTAGTTTTGGGGGCTGGCAGGTAGCGTGGTGGTTGAGTCACTGTACTCCCACATGGCTGACCAGAGTTTGAGTCCCAGACCTGGTGGCTTTCTTTCTCACTTTCCCTTTTTCTCTCTGTCTCTTTCTAGACAAATTAAAACAGTAATAATAATAATAATGAATAAAATAAAGTAAAATACTTTTTAAAAAGAGAGTTTATTTTTGGTGGGACCAGCAGGTGGCATAGTAGTTAAGGTTCTGGACTCCCATATGTCCAGTTGCAGTTTGAGTCCTGCACCTGGCAGCTTGAAACTCATGCCAAGTACATGTGTGTGCATGCCCAAAATCCTAACAGGAGAATGGAGGAGAAGGGATTTCTTGCTTTCTGTCTCTGTCTCTCTGGTGAGTGCACACACCATAAAAAAAGTTTATTTTGATGCAAAAAAATATTTTAAGGGACCAACAGTTGGTGTAATGGCTATGTTGCTAGACACCCATGAAGTTGACCACAGTCTGAGTCCCAGACCCAGTGGCTTAAACTCACGCCAGGTGCATGTGCATGCATGCTCAAGATCCTGAGAGTAGAATGGAGAAGGGATTGCAGCATGGCCATTCCCCTGGGGGTGATTTCTCGCTTTCTGTCTCTGTCTCTCTCTGTCTTTTTGGTGAGTGCATGTGCCCTATAGCAAAAATCTCTCCAAATTTTTTTTTTTAAATCCATGCATAATTTTTTTTATAATATGCATTTTCATGAATTTTTGAAGACCTTCTCATATACAATTGAGCAAGTAAGAGATTTTAGAAAAAACACATCTTGAGATTTATTTTTAAGCACAGATATAAAATTCTTGAACTAATCCAATATTCCAGATATAAGCAAAGATGTATCAGTGAAAAATATTTTTCCTATTTTCACTTCATTTATTATAAGCAAAAGTTAATATGAACTCTTAACCTTTCAAAAACCCTGACCTCCCATTCCTTGTAGTATTAAGCAGACTAAAGAAAATGCTTGTGGGAAGGTGTGGTAGCAGAATCAGTGAATAGCAGTTTTTCATTTTTTGCAAAAAGGAGAGTGAGGAAAAGATCTTAGGTATATTTTACACGTATTTTAATTTGGGGTGTAACATACATAGAAAAGGACCTTCTGATTATTAAGTAGAGAATACTACAGAAAATAAACCCCATTTCTATCTTCATTAGAAGTGATTTCTTAAGTTCTTGCAACTAAATTTCTGATTAGCAGCCATCAACCCTAGTTCCCCTCTTTGTTATGGTCTCTTTGCAACCCAGGCTCTATAAGACTAGCCGGAGTCACTGATTATTGGTTTCCGTTTTCTCTTCCTCCTTTTGATTACCTATAATATCCAAGAGAGGATTTTCATTTGGGTAAATCATTAAACGATTATGTGTATAAGAGCATATGTATAAACATGCAGAAAATCAGATTCATATGATAGCGGAAACCCTGCAACATCATCTTCTCTATTTTTAATACTTTCAAAACCAGTTTTGGGAACAGCAGTTGGCGTAATGAATATGTTGCTGGACTCCCCTGTGGTTGACCACGGTTTGAGTCCCAGACCCAGTGGCTTAAACTCATGCTGGGTGCGTGTGCATGCATGCCCAAGATCCTGAGAGGAGAATGGAGGGGAAGGGATTGCAGCGTGGCCATCCCCTCCAGGGGAGTGATTTATTGCTTTCTGTCTTCTCTCTGTCTTTTTGGTGAGCACACGTGCCCTATAACAAAAACCTCTCAAAAAAAAGAGAGTAAAATTTAAAAAAATATAATAAAACCAGTTTTAGTATACTAACTCTATCATAATTTTTTTCTGAAATCTAATTGAAATCCTTCTTACTAAAGGTATATATACATCTTCATTTAATTACTCAGATAATATAATGAAAAGCTACCCAAATATATCACTTCCTTGGACACTGAGTGAGTCTGAGATAATTATGTAGTGATCATAATTATTTTGACTATATCACTTTTATAAAAATGAGAAGTTTATCTAGCTATCTTTGAAGAGTATGCTAAATAATGTTAGAGCTGAAAGTACTTAGAGACAGATGATCAAGTACCATTCCCTCATTCTAGAGTAGAGGAAAATGAGGCCTACGAGAGTCACATGATTTCTCCCAGGCAATGGAACGGACTAGTGGAAGATGGCCATAGAATCAAGACCCCCTGGCTCCCAGGTTGGGTTTTACTTACCGGTCTGGCAGCACTGTATCCAGAAGATCCTGGGCCTACAAGTCCTGCTTGAGGTGAAGGCTGATTGCGTCCTAGGATAAAGATATCACACCATATACTTAAGTTAAAAAAAAGTAAAAAGAAACAAGAAACCATATAATTATATTCCAAGCATCTATTTTGTGGTCCATTTTTTAGGGTAAGTAGCTACATTTAAGTGCTTTTTACCTATATTATCTTTCCGTGTTGTTCCAGGGCTTTTGGGTGCTTTTTGAAGCAGGAAGGGAAAGAAATTAGTTATAAACAAACAATCAAGCATATTACATAACATCAATTGGCAGTCCTGTTTCACTACCAGCATCAATGGGGACATGAGATGGTAACAAAACAAAGTACTTTGCTTTGGATAATGATGAAGGGTATTATTGGTCCTAAATGAAATACTCATAAAAGAGAAATTAGAATACTCAGAGATCTTTATAGGACACAAGTGTGGCCCTCAGCCTGATACTGCATGCACGGGGTCACTCTCAGATGACATTTCCCACAGAACTCTCTCCCATGAACCTTCAAAACATAAGACCAGCTGTGTGTGGACACAAGATGTGGCACTGCTGCTCCTCAGAGCTGAGCAAACAGCCCCTGAGCAACAGACAGGGCTGCATTTTTCAAGCTACTCAAAAGGTTCCTGAGAGCACTGTTTTAGGGCTTCATGCTGTAGATATCATTGTGGATAAAGTATCTCATGATGGGATCTTTCAAATTTCTGTAACAAAATCCTATGATTAAGGGAGAGGGCAGGCATATGTTACTACCAAATACCTGCCTTGTGAAAGACTTAAAATATGGTTCAAACTCATTAGAAAGACAGTAGAAAGATGAAATTAAATAAATCAGTCTTTAGGAGTAATTTAGGAGGAGGAGGGAGTATCACTGGCAGTATCTTGGATTTATTCTCCTTTTTAAAAAAGAGATTTGGGGCCAGCAAGTGGTATAGTGGTTAAAGTGCTGGACTTCCACGTGGATGACTATGGTTCAAGTCCCAGACCTGGAGGCTTGAAAATTATGCTGGGTGCATGTGAATGTGTGCCCAAAACCCCAGGAGGAGAATGGAGGAGAAGAGACTGAGGTGTGGCTATCCCCTCTGGGAGAGTAATTTCTCACTTTCCCTTTCACTGTCTCTGTCTCTTGTTGGCAAGTGTATATGCCCTATGACAAAAACCTTTAAAAAAAAAAAAACATGAGAGAGAGACAGAGAGATTCAAGAACAATTGCTACATGAATTACACTGGCCCTTTACAAATTATAATCTTAACAGCTTCTAGTCATAATGGTCTTTTAAATAAATCTAGCTCGGTACCAATATATCTAAAAACACCTGAACCATCTAAAATCACCATCAAAATACTATATTCTTGGATCTGAATTAATAGGATTTAATTATAATTAGTAACTTAAAATTTCAGATTACAGTCCTTTACTAAACCTTTTTTTGGTTCTGAAAAGAAATTGAAGGTATTATTTTTAAGCAGTAATTTCACAACCTACAGATATATAAAATATGTATAAAACTACTGCAACATAAAAAACTTCAGGGAAATTAAACTTCATTAGGAACTATACACAACAGAGAATGAGAAGAGAAAAAATACAATGTATACATAAGGAGAGGGAGGGATTATTTACAATTAGACTAAAAATATTTGGTATGCCTTTAAACACTGGAGGGGCTGACATTTAGAAATAAAATGAGAGAACCACTTCTATAACGCAAAAGTCTTGTTACCTTCCATCTCTCTCCTAGCTACCCCAGGACTGGGAGGGGCTCCAATACCTTTCAGAGAAAGAACAGAAGCTATATATTGTTCAGGGCCCACAGCACAGAATGAAAGGCAGGCACACAAAACAATTTCTGTATAAATTTACTTTTGCAAAAAGGTTCTTCTATTGCTTTACACTTCTTCAAAGGTATAAATACAAACCTAAGTGACATCAGATGCCTAGCCCAAACCTCTGTCTTCCCTTTGCTTAAAAAGAATAGCAATGGGATGACAGTTTTCTTTTCATCTTTTGAGATTACAAGTAGTAAGGAATTTATTTATAAGAAAGCCTTTGCTTTATAATCATCTCATTCCTTTGTCCTAAGTTAAATCACTAAGAAAAGCTCAGTGAAAGGGAAAAAAATTGTTAGTGAAGTTTCAACTTAATTTCAAATTTCTATGAGACTACATTAGTTTCTCAAAAGTTAGATTTGATAGACTATTTTTAAAGATTCTAGGGGTGAGAATGTAGTGTGATGGTTAAGGTGCTGGACTCTCACATGTCTGACCACAGTTCGAGTCCCAGACCTCGTGACTTCCCGCTCTCCCTCTCTCTCTCTGGTTAGTACACATGCCCTATAGCAAATCAAAATAAAAATAATAAAATTAAATATTCTTTTTAAAATTTTTTTTGGAGAGGTTTTGCTGTAGGGTGTGTGCACTTGCCAGAAAGACAGAAAGAGACAGAAATCAAGAAATCACTCCTCAGGGGGGATGGCCACGCCACAATCTCTTCTCCATTTTCCTCTCAGGAGCTTGGGCACGCATGCACATGTGCCTGGCGTGAGTTTAAGCCACTGGGTCCAGGACTCAAACAGTGGTCAACCACATGGGAGTCCAGAGACATAGTCATTACACTCACTGCTGGTCCTTAAAATTAAATATTCTCAAAAAATAAAAAAAAAAGAACTCTAAAAATACTATAATGACTTCCTCCACACTTATTGCCTTGAAGAACCTTTGAATAAAATGAACTATGTTGCATACACTGTCTACAAAAGATACATATATCTTTTATAAAGAGGGCTTGCTCTGTGGCCCAGTGGTTAAGGAATGTGGATCCCACATGGCTGAGTGCAGTTCAAATCCTGTCCCTGGTAACTTGGAAAACATACCAGGTGTTTGTATGTGCATGCCCCAAATCCCAAAAGAATGGAGACATGGAGGAGAATGGATTTCGGCATGACTATACCCATGGGGAGAGGTGTTTTCTCTTTTATATTCCAAGCACAGTGGGCCATGGAATATTAAAACTGAATTTGCAAAAGCTCTTCTAGGAACTGTAATAACCTGCCTCATCCATTCTTGAGAATTAGATTAAGTAAAATTGTCAGATATATGCCTCCAGCTGAGCTCTGTGAGAAGCTTTCATGTAAACGAAACAAACTGCATTAAACAAAAAGCAATCCATTTGTGAATCAAAATTTCCTTATTAAAAAAATGAAAATTATATATTGAATAATTTCTGTATAAACAAATGAGGCATGACTTTCATGACAAGCTATAAATACACATGAACTGAAAGATATATTTCTGATAATTATTATAATTTTAAATTGCATCCATAGGAAACTTTGCTAACCATAGGGTTTTCCATTAGAAAAGAAATGTACTACAGTATTACTAAGTAAATACTTAAGAAATGTTTTCTACTCACTATATCTGAATCCCTTTTGAAATTAATACAATGGAAACTAAATCTTTGTAACTAAATCAAATATATATTAATTATATATAGAATTAAGTATATAAGTACAAAAATAAATCAATTCTAATTTTATATGTGTATATATATATATCAATAAATAAATGTAAAATATACCAGAGGGCTCGTGTGCTCACCAGAGAGAGACAGAGGGAAAGTGAGAAAGTACTCCCTTTGCAGCATGGTCACATTGCAATCTCTTCTCCATTTTCCCTCCTTTTGGGATTTGGGGCACACATACACATATGTCTGATGTGTTTTTCAAGCTGCCGGGTCTGTGACTTAAACCATGTAGTTGGCCATGTGAGATTCAGCTGCCTTAATTACCAGGCCACAGACTGCTGCCCCAGCTGAGTGTACTTATACAAAACAGTGTATCAGATCTGAATGATAAGTTCAACTATATCTACCTGGAAAATGGAAGTCCTTGTTAGCTCTATTCACATATAAAGCTAAACTCTTCATTTTTTACTTAAAAGGAATATAATAGAAGTTTGGAATTACTTTAAACTTAGAGTCTAAGTGTCATTTTTTTTTCAACTTTCATCAAACCAAAAATGTCTTTCAGTTGGGGGCTCAAGCTTCAAAACATCAATGAACTGAGATTCATACATGATAACAAATGTAAAAGGTTACCTCCAAATTCTTTTCTAGCAGGTGCAGGACTCCTAGCCCCTTATAGTTCATAAGAAAATATGCAGCAAAAAGGAAATGAAATCAAATAAAGAATTGAAATGTCAAAGATATACTATAGCATTCAAAATGTCAAATATTACATAGGAATTACATATTTGCAACTAGGTACTTTAGAAAAGCTGTTATCCAATGCATATACTTATAATACTTGAAGTAACACTATATATGTTTAAAAGAACATTTAAACAAATATATAAAATCCTTTATTAAATAACATATATGCTTTTCAGTTTTACAGAAATTAATAAATGTAGTGATTTAATGCTTCTAAAAGCCAGAAGTGAGGAATTCTTTGGGGGGAAAAAAGAAGCCTGGTTTTGCCCCAGGACAGTTTATATGCATAATTATTCAATATGTCAAATGGGCAAAAACAAAATAAACATCTCTTATACACTGGTAAGAAGGCAGCTATGAAAAAACACATTAAGAGAAATCTACTTGGGAAACACTTTTTATCTTGTTATGTCTGTCATGCCTACCATGTTCTTAAGAGAAAAGCTCAAGTAGCAACAGTGATAATAAATAAATAAATAAGTAAATAAATAAATAAATAAATAAAATCAGGGTCGGCAGGTGGTGTGGTGGTTAAAGGTGCTGGATTCCCACACGGCCAACTGTGCTTCAAGTCCTGGATCTGGTGGCTTGCTTTCTTGCTTTTCCTTTTTTCCTCTTTCTTTCTCTGTCTGGTCAAATTAAAAATAATAATAACAAATGGAATTGAATAAATAATTCTTTAAAAAGAAAGAAAAAAACAATAAAATCTAGAAGCTATAAATTTGAAAACAGGCAAAACATTTAAAATAGAGTGGAGGAGGGACCAGCAGATGGTGTAATGGTTATATCACTGGACTCCCACATAGTAGACCATGGTGTGAGTCCTGGACCCAGTGGCTTAAATTTATGATCATGCATGCCCACGATCCCAAGAAGAGAATGGAGAAGGGATTGCGGCCATTTCTTCTGGGGGGTGATTCTTCACTTTTTGTCTCTCTGGTAAGCACACATGCACTATAGCAAAAATCTCTCTAAAAAACAAACCACCAAACAAAATAGAGTGGAGGAGACTTTTCAATGTACCAGAAATGGAAATAAGCAGCTTGTTACCTGAGGGTGGAGGTGGTCTCTGTGGGGGAGCTGGACGTGTGGGAGGAGCGACTGGGCGGGGAGGGGGTGGCCGCTTGGGCTCTAAAGTCTGGGAAGGTTCTTTCTGCTGCGGCTGCACTGCTGGCTGAGTGTCATTAGGAGAACCTAAAAAAAGTATATCAGGAAAAATGATCAGGTTCCAGGTGATGCTGGCACTAAGAAATGTTCTATTTTGCTAATTTTTCAAATGTGTACTGGAGTGTAAAGAAGGGTACACATTTTCAGCATGGTAACAAAAGACAACCCTTTGGTACCCTGGGAGCAATACTGCCACTTCCATGCTGACTTCTTACCTAGGCCAAGGTGCTGAAAGCTGATTATTGAGTGGCCCTATCAAGATGGCATAAAATAACTGTTGAGTTAAATGATTTAAAGTCTGCCGGCCAATAGAGAGAAGAAAAAGAAAAGCCCAAGTAGTAATGAATTTTTACCATAACAGTAGAGAAATAGTGACAATAATGGTAAGTTTCCTTTCTACTAAAAGATTACCATCTATCAACTTTCCTCTTGTGTATGCAGAGAAAACAGTGTACGCTTTAGCATATGACTACAAAAGCCAAACAATAATAGCTCTCTAAAATCAAATACTTTGGATAGAGAGGCATATAAACTTTCAAATAAAATGCATACTCTGTGAACTTGGAGGTCCAGGAGTTCTTGATGGTGCTCTGCTTGGTCTGATGGGAAGGGATGGCACAGGACCCTCAGCTATTGTAGGTGACTGGCACGGACTGGTGCGGGGTGAAGAGCTTGGAGAAGTGCCAAGGCCAGAACTTGAAGATGGCTGGAGATGCTGAGGAAGAAGCTCCTCCACTTCAGCACTATAGTCATCAACATCACCTAAGGAAAAGTAAGATTTTTTTTTTCACCTGATACTTCAAAGAGTTAAAATACTCAAAATAAACATGGTAACATTATGACACTGCAAAACATAATGGATTAAGCATCTAGGCATGTACAAAAATCTATAGAACTAGTATAGAACAAGAATCAATACAAATGCTTTTACAGAAAATGTAAAGGTATCTATAGACTCAGAGCAGCAGGATGTTGGGGTGACTGACCACTGGCTGGGTTGACTCATTCCACTGAGCAGCTATTGCAGTGCTGGCTGACCCTGCTTTCCCTCCAAACATGTCTACTGTGCTCTGCAGAATAGCACCTAGGCACTCACCTGCCCCAGGGAGGCCCACACCCTGATAGCTAGCAAGCTCTCAGGCAGCCACCTGCCCCTTCTGACCCCCTAATCCCAACACAGACCTTCTTTGTTTTAACTAAATACTGGTTCTCCCCTGAGGTGGTCTCATGCCCACTTATCTCAGGATTGGTAAATGGGACCAAGGTGTCCCTTGCAGCCCAATTCCAGACATTAATCTTACAACCCTAAACCAAGTCCCATTTATCTGAGGCTATGCCATCAGGAAATTATGTAAGACTCTACCCTCATGTGCTGCAGTAACTGACAACCTCCAGTCTTCTGGTCACTCAAATCCATTCGAGGACTAGGCAGCGAGATGGTAAGTTGGATTCTACCATCGTTCTCTGTGACATCTATGTGGACAACCTGTTCCACAACCTAAATGCCTTCGTCATTCTTACTGAGACCTCCACTTGTAACAGATGCATTTCTCAGAATAGAAATAGTCATCTCACTCATTCTAGCCATCGCCCCCCAGCCTTCCAGTTTTCTCCCATAGTTTCGCTTTCTCTTTGACTTTATCAGGATCCAGGGCTCAATCCCTCTCATTTTAACCCAGTTCCATTTTGCTTTCTTCTGTAACTAGCGTCAGTCTATAGTTCTTCACCTCAGTCATCCCCATACTTGACTGTTATTCCATTGCAAGTGCCTGGCAGAGCCCCAGCTCCTCACCGATTCCACTGTTCAATCTTCCTATACTTGCACTTGGGTTGCTGAGCATGGCTGCTGAAGGAAACCACACCAGCGTGATGGCTCTGGTCACATTAAAGGTGTGGTGTCATCTCTTCTGGGCTCCCAAAGCTGCCTGACAGTCCGATGATTTCCTTGGCTCTCCCTTAACCCCTTCTCCTCAGGAGCTTTACCTCAAAGCTTCTCAACTCTCCTCAATCTGTGAATTGTCTCTCCTCATGCAGGCGAATGTCTACACCTAACCTCTGTAGAGAAAAAAGGTCTTAGGATAGGAACCCCCCCCCTTAAATGACCTGCCTCCACGTCTGATCACATAGCGGCACTTAGGTATCTGTGGACTGAACAAATAGGGTCCTACCCAGCCCAGTTTTCTCAGAGCTTTGCTCTATTATTCTGCTCTGCCCTTCCTGAAGATCATCATCCCTTTCCTCTCTACCAGGGCTAAGCCATCAGCACTAAGCATTCTCAAGCCTCTCTCATCTATACAACCATGTGGGCCAGGCCTCTGGCACAGCAGTTAAGCGCTATACACAGGAAGCTGACCAACCAACCAACCATGGTTTGAATCCTGGCTCTGGTGGCTTGAAAAACATGCCAGGATCATATGTGTGCATTCTCAGAACCTTAATGGGAGGGAGAAATGGAGCAGAGAGGACTGCAGTTGACCACACCCCATACGGTGTGCTTTCTCTCTCTTTAGCAGGCATGTGTCCTCTAGCAATTAAAACACATGCGCGTGCTCATCTCTGGAGCAACTTCCCTCTTCTCTTTTCCTCCAATCTTAGCCAAACTTCCTCAGAGCTGTCTACAAACTCTCTTTCCACTTCTTTGCTTTCCCTCCATACCAATTTACCACCATCTGGCTTCATTACTTCACTGAAATTACCCTCATAAGTGTCACCAACAGCTCCCTCCCTGTTGTTAAATCAGGCACCTTTCAGTCTTGTTTTTCCCCATCTCTCTGGTAGAAGACATCACTGATAATCCTTCACTGGTCCTTTTTTCTCTTGATTTTAAAGCCACGAAATTCTCTAGGCTCTTTGCCATTTCTATCAACAGTTGCTTTTTCTCCCCAATTTTCCTTTCATGGATAGTTTCTTCTATCTTTTTCAAAAAATTATTTATCTGATTTCCTTTATTATTATCATACTTCAATTTGACCAGAGAGAGACAGAGAAAGAGAAAGAGGGAGAGAGAGACTGAGAAAGCAAGCTGCCAGGTCTGGGACTCAAACCATGGTCAGCAATGTGGGAGTCATGTGCCTCAGCACGCCACCTGCCTTCTCTTCTGCCTATCTCTAACCTCTGTGTTTTCCATATTCATATTTAGGACTCTGTAATTTCTTCGTATCCAACTGTCTCTCTTTACATAATCTTACTAGCCAAAGTAATAAATGCCACAGCGCTGCCTGCCCTTATAGCTGCATTTTGAGCACACAGCTCTCTCCAAGCACCAGACCCACATATTCCACAGCTAATGCCTCGATCCTACTGACAACACAGACATCTCAAAACCAATGTGTTCAAAACAGCATTTACCTTCTATTCCACACTTGCTCCTGCCCTGCATTTTCCTTCATGTACGCCCTTGCAAACACCCTTGCACAGTCAATAGCTTCCCTTCTCTCCTTCAGTCCTATATACACGCCTTCTTCCCGGGTCATTTGCTCTATAGCATTTAATCCAATTCTCCCTGAGTCTTCAGATCTCAACTTAAATTTCAATTCCTCTAGGATACCTTGCTCATCTTCCCAAATCCAAGCTAAGCAACTTTCTTATGAGTTTCCACTGCACTGTTCATTATCACATGTACGTTACTTTACTATAATTGCTTACCTACTTGTGTGTAATAGTAAGCTGTGAGCTCTGGGATCACAGCTAATGAGTTTCCAGCATTGAGTATGTACCCAGCATATACAAGGTACTAAATAAACATGTGTGAATCAAGTAAACAAATAAACAGAGAATGTAAAAATGACATAATCTATTGGGTTGCTGGAAAAGTCATGATGCATCTTTGCAGAGAAAAACGTAGAAAAATAATGTCATGACTTTTCTGATGATCCAACAGCAAGATGTTTAACTCTTTCTTTCTTTCTTTTTTTTTTTTTTGTTGTTGTTATTTTATTTTATTTTTTTTCCATAAGGGTATATGAACTTGCTGGAGAGGGACAGGGAGAGGGAAAAGTGAGAATCACTCTCTACTTTTCTCTTGAGACCTTGCACAGGCACAAACATGCATCTTACATGATTTTCAAAGCCACAGGGTCTGTGACTTGAACCACGGTCAGCCATGTGGGAATCCAGGGCCTTAACCACCACACCACCTGCTGGCCTCAGATGTTTAACTTTTAAATGTGATATCCAGCTGTACAGGGGATGATAATATGATGTAGTCTCATTTTATAAAGTAAGGTATGCATTTTAATAAAAATAATATGCTAGAATAATTATGTATATTTTAGCCACACTTATAGAAATTATTATATCCTGTCCCAAATTCTAAACTTTTTTTTTTTTTTTTTTTTTTTTACTGCCAGATGGCATATGTGCTGGCCGGAAAGGGAGAGAAAAGAAGCACCCTCCAATGGGACATGGTCATGCTGCAATTTTCCCTCATTTCTCTTTCCCATCAGGATTTTGGGAGTGCATGCACATACACTCAAACCAAGATTCGAATTCCTGTTGGCCATCAGGGATCTGGTTCCAGTGCACAGTGCTGAACCACTGAGCAACAGAACCAGCTCCTGAATTCTAAACTGTAAATGGTTACATTTTTACAGATGGCTTCAGTTTCAAATGTAAGCTAGCTACTGATACTTTGAATCTTTTTAAATTACTTTGAAATATAGCCTATTCTGTAGGGAATATTTTGAATTCGTTTCTGTTGTTAAAATACACTTGAAACTTCTTTATTTTTATTTATTTTTTTAACCTTAATTCTAATTATTGGGACCAAACCACATGTCAAAAATATCCATTTATGCTTTCATCACACAAGAATATAAACAAGCATTTATAACAGTCTTAATGGCAAATACATTTAAAGTTTTAGTATAAGCAAAATAAACACAATATGATACAAACAAACTCTAATTCAAGTTGCTATTTGTGTTTCAAGAAGGAGAGGGATAAGCTTAGACAGGAAGACCTTACTGATGGGAAGGAAACTTATCCAAGATGTAAAAGTCAATTTGCTCAAAGAACAAACCTTCCATGTCGAAATCGGCTGTCACCTCAGCATCTTCACCAAGCAGGGTAGAGCTTGTTGAGGATGGCAATGTAACACTGATTTTCTCTAAACTCATTTCTTCTTCCAAATTTTTGATCCAGTCTGGACTTTTTAAAGTAATAGTTACAGTCCGATTCAATAACTAGTTGAGTAAAAAAGATATAAAATTAAAATTCATTGACATACAAATGAACTATTTTGGAATAAAGGAGCCTTAGCTGTACTGTGCAATGGTATAATTTAGTTAGACTCAATTCAACACAATTCACTGGCATACACTAAATTTTTAACTAGTTTAGTGGTTGTTTTCAATTCTTCCTTTAAAAGCCTGTAGCGCAACCTTTCTTTCCTCTTTCCGCCATCTTGGAGCCCGTGGAGGCCTGCTGGGAACAGGACTTCTAAAAGGCAACTGTGTCTGGAAGGCTGTGGTCCAAGGCCATTTTTGCTGGCTATAAGCGGGGCCTCAGGAACCAAAGGGAGCACACAGCTCTTTTTTAAATTGAGGGTGTTTATGCACAAGATGAAATGGAATTCTGTTTAGGCAAGAGGTGTGCTTATGTGTACAAAGCAAAAAGCAATACAGTGACTCCTGGTGGCAAACCAAATAAAACCAGAATAAGCTGGGGAAAGGTCACCGGTACCCATGGAAACAGTGGCATGGTTTAAGCCAAATTCCAAAGCAATCTTCCTGCTAAGGCCATTGGACACAGAATCTATGTGATGCTGTACTCCTCAAGGATTTAAAATAATGAAACGTAAATGAATAAAAATGGGTTTGTGTTGGGGGGGAAAAAAAGTCTATAGTGCTAGGGCCGGCAGGTGGTGTGGTAGTTAAGGACACTGTACTCCCACATGGCTGACCACAGTTTGAGTCCGGGACCTGGCAGCTTGCTTTCTCACTTTCTCTCTCTCTCACTCTGTCCTTTTCTGGGCAAATTAAAATAAATAAATAAATACATAAAGTAAAGTAAAATAATTCTTTAAAAAAAAAAGTCTGTAGTGCTAATGAAGAGGTTTCCCCCCACCCCCTTTCTTTTAAGGTTTTTGCATTAGGACACATGTACTTGCTGGAGACAGAGACAGATGAAGAAAGTGACAAATCGCCCCCCCATGGGGACAGCCAAATTGCTATTCCTTACTCTCTATTCTTCTCCTAGGATTTTGGTCACTTATAAATTTGCTCTGCATGATTTTCAAGCCTCCACATCAAGAACTTGAACTGTGGTGGGCTATGTGGTACTCCAGCGCCTTAAGCATCACGCTAACTCCTGGCCCATAATAAAGGAATTTTTGCTTTTGTTTTTTTCTAGGTTGCACACAGATTCTAGTTTCCTTTGCTATAGGCAGTACCTTCCTGGCCAGGTACAAATATATAGACAACTTCACAACATAACTTTATGTATCCTTTGATTTTGATCCAGATTAAATAATTATTCCTACATAAATAAAGAAGTAACAGTAAAAACATCTTTATAATGTATTTCTTATTCTTTCATAACTTGGCATAACAACCTTGACAACTCCTATATCATCAGCCGCTATATGCTAATCTACATAATTGTAGTATTTCAAATGTCAGAGGAATATTATGAGAACCGAAGACCATTTTAAATCTTCAACAAGTCATTCTGAAGAGAGAGTGACTGCTACACGTGAAAGCAGAACTGTGCTTTCCTTTAAATTTGACTGGGTTTTAGATTAAAATATAATCTAAAACAATCAATGCATTTTTGTGATCAATTTAAATCATGTCCTGTCGATATATTGAAAAATATTTTAACAAACTTGCTTTCTTGATTGTAAGTGCTCCCTCTCACATAGTTTTGACTTCTTTTGTTTTCAGAATTTCTTGACATAAAATGTGAACTTTTTTCAGTATTTGAAATGAACTGAGTAGCTGTTACCAATAGGGGGATACAGAGCCTTCTTGGCTCAAAGTCTTTCTGATATTATCGGGTTGTCGGAAAAGTCATGATGTATTTTTTCTACTAATTACAATTTTCTAATGCCTCAAAGGGATGGATTTGCTATCTGAGGGAATTATTTCATTTATGATGGAAAAGAAGAACCTGTACACCATGATCCAAGTTAATAAGCAAGTTCCTAGGATTAAAAAGCACCTTCTTCCTTTGTTTCTTGGTAAATATTTTCTTCACTTGATAGAAATCTTTTCTACTATACAGATAAGCCAGAATATCGACCCCCAATTAAAAATTTAAAACTTTTTACATCAGAAAATATAAAAATATAAATCAAATTGGTAAATGTTTTTCTTCTTAGTTTATATCTTTTTATTTTTAATTTTTTAATTGCCAGATGGCATATGTGCTCACGGAGAGAGGGGGAGAGAGAGAAAGGAGAGAAAGCACCGCTCAGTGGGGCAAGGTTTTGTCATAATCCCGTCTCTATTTTTCTATCTTGTTGGGATGCTGGGCATGAATGTAAACATACCCAGTGTGTTTCTCAAGCCTGTGCTCAGTGTGTTTTTCAAGCCACTGGTGCTGAGATTCAAACTACAGTTGACCATGTGGATCTAGCTCCTTTAACCACTAGACTAAGGTGTCTGCCCTATACCAATGGTTAAAATCTCTAGGGAGAGATGATAACAACTTAGGCTAATTGGAAATCTAGTCTAAATGAAAAATACTGGCCCACCCAGTGGTTTGGTGGTTAAAGCAGCTGGACCCCAGATGGCTGACTGCACAGTTTGCATACCAGATCCAGTGGCTTGAAAAATGTGCCAGACACGTGTACATGCATGCCCAAAATCCTGAGAGGAGGGGTAAATGAAGAGATAAATGGAGACCCTGCCTCTTTTAGCGAGCACACGTGCCCTCTGGGAATTTTTTTTTTTTTTAATCAAGCAACTCCTAGGGACCAGCAAATGGCGTAGTGGTTACGTTGCTAGACTCCACATGGCTGACTGCAGTTCAAGACCTGGACTCAGCGGCTTAAGACTCACGCTGGGTGCGTGTGTGTGTATGCCCAAGATCCCAGAGGAGAATGGAGGAGAAGAGATTGTAGTGTGGCTATCACCCCTTGGGAGCATGATTTCTTGCTTTCTATCTCTCTGTCTCTCTCTGTCTCTCTTGTGAGTGCATATGCCCTATAGCAAAAATCTCTCTTTAAAAAAATTATGTATCTCACACTTCTCTTTAAAAAAATTACGTAACTCCTCAAGCACATCATTAGGTCTTTTGCCTTCTCTAACTGAAAATACATTTAGATCATTTTAATGTAGGTCTGTAAAAATATTAACGTAATCGTTGACATTTAATTCCAGAACGGTATAGAATAAATAATGCTACCTTACCTCTTTACCATTGAGGCTTAGAACATTCAAGGCAGAGCTTCCCTCCAAAAATGTAACCCACATTTTATCTTCTACGAATCTTTAAGAAAGAGAAAAATAAAAAACTGTAATCAATACCTTTGATGTAACTAGCTCCATGAGTAGTCCAATGAGTACTGATTAATAGGGCCTACAGAGGCAAAAAGAGGGAGAGCAGTAGTAGGGCTGGTGGCCATCTGGAGAGGGCATGCTTCCCCTAAAAGCATCAAATCCCAAATTCTTTCAAATACTACCCTAATAAATCAGCCAGAAGAAACAGACTGTGTAACTCCTTTTTTGTTCCCTGCTAGTCCAATTCCTCATTTCACTGATAAAGAAAAAAGGGCCAGAAGTTAAGTGTCTTACTCAAAGAGACCACACAAGGAGAATAAGTTACAAGGTTAGGATCCAAATCTCCTGACCTCAGAGTTGAGTACAATGTATTTCTACTAGCTCAATGACCTTCCTGAGGACATTCTTTCTGACCAAGAAAGATGATAAGGCATCTTTGGGATAGGGATAAGGCATCTTTGGGATAGGTAAAGATGTCAGTGGGAAAACAAAAATAGAAACAAAAACAAAAATCAAAAAATGGGACTGGCTCCAAGGAGCCTTAGGCTTTGGTCCTTGTCTTGAGAAGACCTCTTGGGACTTCAGTGGTCTACATTATAATTCTAAAGTAATACCTTTGAAGTAAGAAATTCTCCAAAGGAAAAAAAATAATAAAAAGGGCATTAGAAGAACTTATGAAGAATATGGTCACTGATACATTATCACAGATAAAATAAAACACGTTATAATGTTAGCAGTCTTATTTACAGAAATAATTTTCTAAGTTCAAATACTTCCACTTTATAAACTAAGTTCAGAAATCTTTGCAGGTTGTTCAAAAACTAGAAAGGACAAAACATGTGTATACACATATACTCTAAAACAAGGATTCAAAAGTATGAATTATAGGGAACCAGCAGTTAGCGTAATGGCTATGTCGCTGGACTCCCACGTAGTCAACCGCGGTTCGTGTCCCGGACCCGGTGGCTTAAATCTCACGCCGGGCGCGAGTGCGTGCGTGCCCAAGATCCCGAGAGGAGAATGGAGGAGAAGGGATTGCGGCGTGACCATCCCCCCTGGGGGGTGATTTCTCGCTTTCTGTCTCTATGTCTCTCTCTGTCTGTCTGGCGAGCGCACGCGCCCTACAGTGAAAAGCTCTCTAAAAAAAAAAAAAGTATGAATTATAAACATTAAGAAAAAAAGGCCAAAAACAAGTGTTGTTTACCCAGTAGAAATCAAGGGCCTAGAAGAGATTTCTACAATCACTCAAATGTGACCAAGGTAACTGACTCAGTTTCTTGGCATAAAGTTATAAAATTGTAGGATGCTTTTATCTGAAATACACAGAGACATCATTCTTACCTAAATACCATGAAGGTATCTTCTTCAAACAGTTGGCAATGGAAACTATCCCTCCTCCTAAGGTTATAATCACCACTGTAAAACTGCACTTACACTGAGCAGCTCCACTAGGCCCTCCAAACCCCGAATATGATCTGTTCTTTAGTAGTGGTGCCTAAGCACGTGTGGACTGAGGGCAGGGCTGATCTCTAGATCATCATTCACAATTAGCAATAAGCTCCTTACCTATTTCTAATTTTAATAAGGGATTCTGGTTTTTACATCCATGGATTTATGATGTCTTTTTTTTAGTAGCTGTATTTTCTTCCTGCTGTCACTGCTAAGGTAAATGTTTCTAGACTTTTCCCTCAATTAACATAAATATCTAGGAGCCAGCAGATGGTGTAGCGGTTACATCACTGGACTTTCACATGGCCAACCATGGTTCGAGTCCCAGACCCAGTAGCTTAAACTCATGCCAGCCCGTGTGTGTGCATGCCCAAGATCTTAGGAGGAGAATGGAGAAGTAGGGATTACAGCGTGGCCATCCCCCCAGGGGGAGATTTCTCACCTTCCTCTCATTGTCTTTCTTTCTCTCCAACAAGCGCACACACTTAAGGCAAACTGCTAAAAAAAAATTAATTTTATATACATATCTATACACACACACACGTAAACTCGTCCCATATTCATTTTCAAGGACTTGAGTCACTCTTCAACAGTTGTCTTATTCTAAACCAAAAGGTAATACTCCATTTAATCTTACTGCATATAGTAGTCCTCTCCTTGTTTACTTTCAGTGTCTGCTTTCTCTTTTCCAACATGGTTATTTTAGAGCATAACAACTGGAATATTCCAGATATGGTGATACCTCATGGCTTTACAACATTAAGGCAATGCCTTCTTTTCTTTTCTTTTTTCTTTTTTCTTTTTTTTGGAGAGGTTTTTGCTATAGGGCGCGTGCGCTCACCAGACAGAGACAGAGAGACAGAAAGCGAGAAATCACCCCCCAGAGGGGATGGCCAAGCTGCAATCTCTTCTCCATTCTCCTCTCGGGATCTTGGGCACATACACACATGCGCCCTGGGTAAGTTTAAGCCACTGGGTCCGGGACGTGAACCGCGGTCGACTACGTGGGAGTCCAGCGACATAGCCATTACACTAACTGCTGGTCCCAACAACGCCTTATTTTCTTACCAATACTTTTCTTAATGATTACAAGCATTTTGGGGAAAGCTTTTTGGCTCTAAGCACCAAGGTCTTTAGAGACTGGGTCGAAAGGCAGGCAGGCCCTTTTCATATATATTAGTCTTTCATCCCTTCTACAGTTGAGATTTTTTCTGGCTGAGTGTGATATTTTACATCTGCTCATGAAGACATTTTGCTGCTGCTCTGCTACCCACTCATGCGGTTCACATGATGTGTCTGGTGGTTTGGTATTTCTACACTTGGCAAAGCTTACCGTCATCTGTGAACTTGGATATTTCACTCTGTACTTCTAGAACCTTAAGATTTTATTTATTTATCTATTTATTTTTGGAGAGGTTTTGGCTATAGGGCGTGTGCGCTCGCCAGACAGACAGAGAGAGACAGAGAGACAGAAAGCGAGAAATCACTTCGGGGGGTAGGGGGGGGAGGGCCATGCTGCAATCCCTTTTCCTCCATTCTCCTCCCGGGATTTTGGGCTCCTCTCGGGATCTTGGGCACACACGCACATGTGCCCGGCGTGAGTTCAAGCTACCAGGTCCGGAACTCGAACTGCGGTAGACTACGTGGGAGTCCAGCGACATAGCCATTATGTTAACTGCTGGTCCCCAAGAACCTTAAGATTTTAGAAATTTCTTGTTTTAGTTCATTTTAAAGCCTTGGGGTACATTTTTGTCATATGATTCGAAAGAAGACTAAACAATTTCTTTTGCATTTGTTCATCTACTGTCTGAAAGGACTTGAGGCATCTCAGGCATGATTTTCACTCCACAGAAACCACACCACCCTAATTCTGTGGACTCTACTGCTCAGTATCTGGGGAAGCCACCACATACACACTGAACCTCCCGACTAGATTACAAGCTGGAGTCACAGTTCAACTTCTCTGCTCTTTCACAGCACCTAGGATAGGGATCTGCCCACCAAATATCTGTAAAACACACCAATTTCATAGTCAAAAAAATGGAGTTTAAACATACATGTCACTCAATCTCTCAAAATTGATGTATACTTAGAAGAGAACATTTTTAAAACAAGGAAAGAGGTTTCTGGTTTCGCAAAAAGCAGATGGTTGAATCAATGAGGAAAACCAAGATTGGAATGGATGACCTTGACTGACTTTATCACATCTTTTCTGGCTGGAAATTAAATGCACTGAAAGTTACTTAACACATCAAATTCCTTAAACTAAGGGGGTAAAATTCACTCTACTTTACTCTTATTTCTCCTTAAAAAATAAAATGGCAATTTCAGCTTCATTTTGGTATCTGGCTCTATGTTCTAGCCTTAGGAATCTTGAGAGGTCATATCTAAGCTTGCACATATTTTTGTCAATTGTTTGCATAGTTTCATTATTTAATTTTTAATTTAAGCATTCTGTTTCAAGTCTATGAGCTCTCTAAATAACATCTACAGAATTATTTTTCTTTAGTTTGAAAACAGAAATACTCCTATTTTATTCAAATATTAAGTTATGTGTAATATAGTATTTATGGACCATGAGTTGCCTTTTTTTTTTTTTCTTTTTCTTTCTTTTTTTGGAGAGGTTTTTGCTATAGGGCATGTGTGCATGCCAGAAAGACAGAGAGAGACAGAGAGACAGAAAGCAAGAAATCACTCCCCCTGCCCCCCCGGGAGGGATGGTCACGCTGCAATCCCTTCTCCTCCATCCTCCTCTCGGGATCTTGGGCACGCATGCACACGTGCCCGCCGTGAGTTTAAGCCACCGGGTCCGGGACTCGAACTGCGGTCAACTACATGGGATTCCAGCGACACAGCCATTACTCTAACTGCTGGTCCCATCCATGAGCTGCTTCTGAATAACAAATGTTTTACTCACCTTATAAGTATAACTTCACCAAAATTAGCAAACTGCTGCAAAAGCTCATCAATCAAGGCATCATCAAAAAAATTATTTTCTGGTGAAGAACTTTTGATCGAAACCAACACTGTACCATCTGGTGGACCTTGAACTGCAATTACTTCTTTATAAATGTTTTGCCTCTCTTCTGCTTCAACTTCAAATATATCTATATCGATTAGGGCAACAACAGGCCTTAAGGTATAAAGGAAGACAGATACGTTAGAAATATTTTTTTATAAGTGATATTTCAAACAAATTGCAAGGACTATTAGAAAAATGGAGACAATTTAAACCTATGGTCAGATGTCTTCAGCTCAGCTCTTCCATAATGAAGCAAAGTGCCAGGAGTCCACGTGTAAAGGATTTTGCTTTCATCTTGAAAACTAGCATTTAGAAGATCTAAATCTTCAGCTGCAGTGGGAATAAAAGAAAACACAAAAGAAGGCATATGAGCATACCATATCATGGGGGGCTATGAGATCTCTCCTGCCTCTCATTAGCTTCAGCTGTCTGAGGCTGGATGCCAGATGCCCTGGCTAACAGGCAAGAATTTCAGATCCCTTTAAGATAAAAGGCTTTTAGTAAAGCTATCATTTCATCCTTTCTCCAGTAAAAATTAAGACATGGCAGCCTTTGAGCCAGTCTTTCTCAGTCTGCTCAGGCTCGCTCCTACCTCTCACTTTTACTAAATAAACTACCTTTTATTTCACTATTGGCATCTTTCATTCCATTCTTTGTCTGAAACACCAAGAACCTGGCTATCATCGCAGAAGCCAAAAAGCAACATATAATGTGGTGTGCCAGGCCCGGTGGCAAACTCAAAGGAAAAACAGGTCATAACTCTCAGAAGGACTCAAGGGTCCTGGAGTCTCTCAGTCCAGCTGAGGGCATTCAGCCAAAGAAACGATTCTGGGGATGAAAAAGGACGTGGCAAGTAGAAGATGCTCAGGCCACTGTCCCAGAGCTTCTTTCTCCTCCAAGGGACAGCTCAGGAGGCATGGGAAATAACCACTCAGTTCCCGGAACTCACTACTTGGCTGTGTCCTTACCATTGGGAGAATTTTGGCCCTGGTAAAGAAAAAATGCTTAATATTCTTTTGTAATAGAGCTTGGCCTCAATATAAACTTGGGGACCAAGAACAATGGCTGCTAAATGGGACCATTAGTCATAACACTATCTTGCAGCCAGATTCCCTATGTAGAAAAAAATGACAAGTGGTCCCAAGTCCCCTGTGTCTAAGCCTTTATGGTTCCTTACCAAGACTCTTCCCTTTGCAGAAAAGTCAATCAAATCCCTTCCCTAAGGCCTCAGCCAAATATGGATATAATAGATGATCTTTTGTTATAAACCCTGATGGAACTCCTACGAGAACATACTCCCTTCTCCATACCGTTCCTCACCTTCTGCCCCAAGCACGGCTATGTTCACCCCAAAGGAAACAGAAGGAATAGATAATCAATCCCTCAGTTCAACACATACTTGAAGTAGGACCCCCTTCCTACTCAGAAAAATAGCTGGACAAGAAGACCCAATTAGAGTCCAAGTCCCTTTTGCCATTACTAATACTCAACAATATAGGTAAAAGTTGGGCAAATATTCTGAAGGCCCCAATAAATGTTCTGACAGTTCCAGATACTGATCCTGGCTTTCAACCTCTTTTGGAGGGAGAACTACAGCCAATTCATTCTGGCTACCTGTTGTATGGCTATGGAGAAAAGGATAAATCTTAAATGTAGCACACAAAAAAGCAGATGCTACATTTGCTAGCATCCCACAAGGAAATTTTCCAAGAGGAGAAACTGTCCCGACAACTGATCCTGAATGGGATATAACACCCCAATGGGAATGAATTGGAGGGTCTCTTGGCAAGAATGAGACATGAGCTACAGAAACCCTACAAATTATGACAAAATAAGAACAACTGTACAGAAAAAAGATGAAAACCCAGCTGCCTTCTATGATAGGTTAAAAGAGAGATTTAAAATATATTCTCATCTGGACCCTACTTCTCTGCAGAAGAGAGCCCTTTTGGGATAAGACTTCATTAGCCAATCTGCCCCAGATGTCAGGAGAAAACAACTCCAAAAGCTACAAATGTGAGCCCAAACAAATCAGTCTCTATTACTTGACACTATCTTTGTGGCTTTTAATAATTAGGACCTCGAGGAGGGAAAAAAAGAACAAAACTAAGAAAAATGACAAGTCAGGCTTATGGCTATTTGACACTATCTTTGTGGCTTTTAATAATTAGGACCTCGAGGAGGGAAAAAAAGAACAAAACTAAGAAAAATGACAAGTCAGGCTTATGGCTATCACAACTGGCAAAGCCCTTCATATCCACCGACCACCAAATGTTTACCTAAAAGCCAGAGAGAAAAATCATAGATTCCTGCTTCAAGTGAAAGAAGACTGGACAGTGGGCAAGAGACTATACCCAGCTACCTCCTGGACCCTGAATTCAATGTCAAGATATGGGAAACAATCCCTGGCATTGGAGAGTTGACTGTCCTCTCTTCTGAAGGGGGAAATGGTCAGCCAAGACCCTCACATGCCAAGGGGAAGAAATCAGTAACTGAGCAGGCCCAGGGAGATCCTCTATGCCCCTGTCCGGAGAAGTCATCATAACCACTGAGGAACCCTGGATAACTCTGGATGTCATGGAAGCTGCAAAACTGTAAATGACCATACAACAGGGATACCAACCCCTTGGGACCTCTACTGAATTCTTCTGCGAGTCATCCAGCACCAATGACAGTCCTCCCAACAACACATCTTGGGACTTAACTCATTGACCTGCTGCTGGTCCTACTCCTCCACCTGGATCAAATAGGGTGAGAGTTCTGTGGTCTCCGATAGGTAGGATCAATGCCCTTTTCCAGCATGAAGCAGTTACAGAAGATGGACCATCCATCTTTAACTCCCCCGCAAAATATTTATAAGAATCATGCCTCTTGGAAAAAATGAGGCAGGAGAAAGCTAGAAAATGGAAGTAGATAAGGGGGCTGGAGCTTCTGCCCATGTGGCTAGATAGAAAACTGATCAGAGCAGAAAAGTCCTTGACTAAGGTAATGCAGGCAGGAGACTGGGGGCAAGTGGGTGAGGGGATGTCTAGCTGACTAAGACACATTTATAGCCAATGAGATGAGTCAGTGGGCCCAGCTACATTTGATAGAGATAATGAGATAATAACAATCAGTAGATCCAATCAATGATCAACCAACATGACCTAGATGAAAAAACTATAAACCTCACAGAATGCAACTGTGGGGCCACTTGAGCCACTCTGTCTGCTCAGACCTGCTCCTACTTCCTGGGAATGTACTTTCACTTCTACTTAATAATAAACTACCTTTTCCTTACAAAAAAACTAAGACATAGCTTACTTCTAAGATTACTTAAGGGCCTATGACCAACCACTGTTTCATAAATTATTCAACAGAAAAGGGTAGTTTAAAATATATGCAAATCACTTTAGTTATGCAAGTTAAAAACCTGAATTAGCATTTAATTGAAAATTTCACACAAAAGGTTTCCTTGCTTCTTTTAATGAACTTTTATCACTGAAGAATTCAGAAAGCAGACTGAGAAATTAAGTAAATTATTATAAACGGATCTGGAAATACACTTAAAAATCAGTCTTATATTTAAATTTTATATATTCTATTCCAGATAACTTTTGTTAAAGAACAAAAAAGCTCTCGGGACCAGCAGTTAGTGTAATGGCTATGTTGCTGGACTCCCACGTAGTTGACCACGGTTCGAGTCCTGGACCCGGTGACTTAAACTCATGTCGGGCGCCTGTATATACATGCCCAAGATCCCGAGAGGAGAATGGAGGAGAAGGGATTGTGGGGTGGTCATCCTCCTTGGGGGGGTGATTTCTCACTTTCTATCTCTCTGTCTATCTCTAGCTTTCTGGTGAGCGCATGCGCCTAGCAAAAACCTCTCCAAAAAAAAAGAAAAAAAAAAAAAGCTCTCCTCTCATTTGTTATTTATAACACTCCCTTCTTCTTCATAAAATTTGCATTAATTCATTTAAGTAAAGAAGTCCATTCCCCAACCTGATCTGTCAAAAGGCCATTTTCTCCTTCTCCAGAGGACACGGTCTGTCCATGCAGGGGTGCGGCACTTTTCGCTGGTGTCATAGTCATCGGAAAACAAATCATATTTATATGTTGGTGCAAAGGTTACTTTTCCTTCCAAAAATCCTCTAAAAATCTAAAATAAATACAAAAGAAGTTATTCCAAAATGCAAAGAAGTTTTTTTTATACAGGCAGCCACTTGTAAGCTATATTGCATGCTGAATACTCTCAGATGAAATTTGTATGTATCTGATGAATACTTTTAACTAAAAAGAAACTAAATAGAAACCAGCAGGTGGCATACTGGTTAAGGTGCTGGACTTCCATGTGGTCAAATGTGGTTCCAGTTCTAGAACCATTGGCTTGAAACTCACTCTGGACATGCGTGTGTGCATGCCCAAAATCCTGAGAGCAGAATGAAGAAGGGACTGCAGCATGGCCATCCTCCTGGGAGGAGGAGGGGGTGATTTCTCGCTTTCTGTCTCTCTTTCTCTGTGTCTCTCTGGAGAGCACCCTATCGCAAAAAATATTTCTTTCTTTCTAAAAAGAAAAAGAAATCTAAAGACAAGTGTATGGACATCAATTAAGCAAACTAGCAATATAAACCATAAAAAGGGGATTTCCCCCAATCTTTTGGGCTATATGAAACATTCAGAAAGATAGAAAATTGGGGAAATCACCTAGCTTGATGACGTATTTTAAAATTAGGAACTGTAGTCTACAAAGGTCAAATGTTGCCCAAAGTGTTGGAATTCAAGTCTGAAGATCTCTAGGTACTATATCATAGGGCTGCTTTACTTAAAAATAATTTTCTTTTCCTAAAAATTTGCTGTAGGGTGCAAATGCTTGCTGGACAGACACAAAGATAGAAAAAGTGAAAAAGCGCCCTCCAAGGAGGGTGGCCACACCACAATCTCTTCTGTTCCATTCTCCTCTTGGGATTCTGGGCATGCATACACATGCACCTGGTATGTTTATGGAGCCACTGGGTCAGGGACTGATACTCCATAGTCATCCATGTGGAATCAGGCTGCCTTAACCACTGCAACACCAGCTGGCCACCACCTCATTCATATACATATATATATTTATTTTATTTTATTTATTTATTTATTTTTTTTTCCAAATAAATACTCCTAAAATGTTGTGGTCTTAAGTTCTGTTTGTTTTTAATTTGCTACCAGGGACATGTGCTTGCTAGAGAGAAACAGGGAACATGAGAAAGCATCCCCTATGGGTGAGAGTCACCATGATCTTTTCCCCTCTTCCCCTCTATTTCTCCTTTCAGGATTTTGGACAAGTGTACACACATGCCCAGTGTGTTTTTCTAGCTACTGGGTCCAGAACCTGAACAGCATAGACAGCCATGTGGAAACCAGCCACCTTAACCACCACACCACTGGCTGGCCTGAAACAAGTTTCAAAAAGGCAGATGAAGCCCAGATGCCAGCGGTGCAGGCAGTGGGACTCCACTATAAGACACTGGAGTCATATAAGAAGGCTCCGGGATTGGATCCCACGTTGACCTGAACATACAAGGCCTGTGATCGCAGCTGGTTAGAAGACTGGGGAAAAGAGTGGCATAGCAAGACTCTGTTGGGGATCCCTCTCTATAGCACATGCTGTATAGCAAACTTAAAAAAATAAATAAATCATGTGTGTGTGTGTGTATTTATATATATATATATTTTTTTTTTTTTTGGAGAGGTTTTCGCTATAGGGCGCGTGAGCTCGCCAGATAGACAGAGAGAGACAATAGAGCTAGAAAGCGAGAAATCATCCCCCAGAGGGGATGGTCACGCCGCAATCCCTCCTCCTCCATTCTCCTCTCGGGATCTTGGGCACGCACGCACACGCGCCCGGCGTGAGTTTTAAGCCACCGGGTCTGGGGCGCAAACCGCGGTCAACTATGTGGGAGTCCAGCGACATAGCCATTACGCTAACTGCTGGTTCCCTGTATTTATATTTTTTAAGAGAGTTTTTTTATCTTAAATTTTCAAAACACTTACAAAAATTTGGGGGCAAATCACAACACAGTGTATGTGCTAACTAGAGAGACAGAGAGAAAGAGAGTGAGAAATCACTCCTCCAGGGAGGATGGCCACACCGCAATCCTTTCTCCTCCACTCTCCTCTCAGGATTTTTGGGCACGTAAGCACTCACAACCTGCGATAGTTTCCAGCCACTAACTCCAGTCCTCCAATCAGCCACGTGGGAGTCCAGCACCTTAACCATTACGCCACTTGCTGGCCAAAAGTAAATCATATTATAAAGACATAATGATACTTTTCTTTCTGGAAATTACTATGGGTTTTCCTTTCTTTTTTTCCGTTTTATCTATACTTACCTATCTACCAAACTTTTCTTTTACCTATAAATAAGTAGTTAAGTACAAAGAAATTTTAACAATTAGAAAAAAACTGATTAAGGAAAGCATGTTTCATAACCAAAAATATCTTCTCCTCAATGCAAGTATGTATATACCTGTCCAGCATTTTTCTGATTGATAAGTTGATCTCCTGCTATAAGAGAATCCCAATTTTGCTGTCTAATGAGTTCTTTAACTTCCTCATTAGGTAGATCGATTCGATAGTTGAAATCACCACACCAAAATACATAGTCATGGGAAAAAAGCATCCTTCCCTAGAATAAATGAGATAAATTTTTAAATTCAAAACAAACAATTTTTAAAATGTTTTATAACTATTTATTTGCCTTAGATGTGTTTGCCTCTTTCTTTCTTCAATCCAATAGTTGTAATACATGAAATATCTAATTTGACTATTATTGACTTTTCTAGGAATTATCCTAAATTTTCAAAACACAAAAATTTTGGGGCAAATCAAAACACATTTTAAAGCTTTATCTTCAAGACTAAGAAGCAAGAGCTTACCATAGGAAAACTCAATTTTCGTGCTATTTCTACAAAATCTTCATTTCTTTCTTTGACCTGTGACTGTCCTGCAGCAAAGTGGCTACAGACAAAGCAAAGGCTGGTTGTATGAAAAAGCATTCGGATTGCAACGGCTCCCTTATTTCCAGTTGCACCTCCCATTCCAGTCTTCACAGTATCAACTGCGACATCCCTTTAAAACAAAGCATTGTAAAAACAGGAAGTTAGGAATATACCTCATATAATCATATAACTACATATCATTTAGCATTTTGTGGGCAAGCCTATGAAATAGGACAGTTAAGCTATCAGTGACTCTTAAATAAAGACATTTTAAAACAAGAACTACTAGGGGCCAGCAGGTGGCATAGTAGTTACGGTGCTGGACTCCCACGTGGCTGACTGTGACTCATGCCAGGCATGTGTGTATATGTGCATGTGCATGTGTGCTTAAAGTCCCGAGAGGAGAATGGAGAAGGGATTGCAGCATGGCCCTGGGAGATGATTTCTTGCCTTCTGTATCTCTGTTGAGCACACATGCCCTGTAGCAAAAATCTCTCAAAGACAAAACAAAAGAAGAACTACCCAGTGGTTCTCTCAAACAACTAACAGTCTAGGCTTTTTTCTTATTATTTAATAATGGTAGGAAGTAGCCTTAGGAGAGTGCTCTGCTTACTGACCTGATATAAGGAGCATGCTGCGGTCGGATAAAAACAAACAGACAGACGCCCACCAACTGCTCTGAAGCCAGCAGCACATACTTGTTGTCTCTTGAGATTGTCTTCTGAAGTTCCACAGCCCAGAGCTTCTGATTTGTTGTGCTACAAGAAAATATTAAAGTGGGAATCTTTAAAAAGATATTGACAATAGCCTTTTTTATAAGACAACTGTCAATTACACCTTTCCCCAAATGTCATAAGACTCTGAAATCTTTATGCAGGCTGTTCTTGTTTCCTTTAAAAAGGAAAACCTAAAATTTAGCCAAAAGAGAACTACAATTCACTGTATAATCTATTACTCCTTTACAAAGAAAAAGTGTGCTGACTTATTCAAAGACTACTTACTAGATGAGAAACCTCAAGCTTGTACATGTCATTTTTTTCTTTAGGTATTCATTAGGATTATGAAGAAAAAAATTATCTGGAAATATTTATTTTTCCAATGACATATTTATCAGATTTTTTCTTCAAGTTTTTCAAAATTCTAATTTTTGCTTGAAAATTCAAGTTTAATCACTGACAACAAATACTCTTGGCTTGTTTCTCTTGAAACACTTTGACCAAAACAACACACGGTAACAGACTGATGCAGAAGTAGATATAAAAATCCAGCAGTCCTAAATCAAGACAGTAATTTTCAAAATTACAAAATAATCCTGTCCTTCTGGGAACCAGCAGAAAGTTCTCGCTTTCTGTCTCTATGTATCTCTCTGTCTGTCTGGCAAGCACACGCACCCTATAGTGAAAATCTCTCAAAAGAAAAATAAATAAATAAATAAATAATCCTGTCCTTCTCAGAAATTCTTTTGTTTTAAAGAAGTTATTTTTAAAACTATGCTATTTATTGGGAACCAGCAGATAGCGTAATGGCTATGTCGCTGGACTCCCATGTAGTTGACTGCGGTTCCCGTCCCAGACCCAGTGGCTTAAAACTCATGCCAGGTGCGTGTGCATGCGTGCCCAAGATCCCGAGAAGAGAATGGAGGAGAAGGGACTGCGGCATGGCCATCCCCCCTGGGGGGTGATTTTTCGCTTTCTGTCTCTCTGTCTCTCTCTCTCTGTCTGGCGAGCACACGTGCCCTATAGCGAAAACCTCTCAAAAAAATATGCTATTTATGTTAACAGGTAATGATTTTATTGTTTTTTTCAATGAACTAAATGCTTTTAAAATTTCAGTTTTGATTTCTAGTACAGTAAATGTCAAGAGATATAAACATTAACAAAAGTTCTTTAAAATTCTCAATACTTCCAAGAATGCAGGGAGGTCCTCAGATCAAAAAGTTCGAGAACAGCTATTTAACAGTTTTAAAAGTACCTTACCACATATTATCTCAGTCTACCCTTGAAATAACTATTGAGTTATCTGTGCTCCATGGAATATTTTCTTTGGTGACCTGGCTGGCTTACCTTGCATTCACAATGTTTCCAGCATTCAACTCTACCATTTCTTCAAAACCAATTGCAAATATATCAGTTGGCTTACTTCTTTTATCTACAATTAAGCATCAAGAAATAGTTTAAAATTTAGCCTCAGTCAAATGGCAACCCCACCCAACACAACAAAACTCAAGATCTCATAAAAATTCATTTTTGTATTTTGAGTGTAACTAAATTCATATTAGAGGCTGAAATTCATGAGTGGGATAAAATTACTTTATATTTACTTTCTATTTAGATGTTCTAAATTTGCTTCTTTAAAACTGTTATTCTTGAAGGTCCTTAAGTTCCTTCAGAGTTCATTTGAAAGAACTCTTGCTAAAGTTTGTACCATGGATTATGGAGAAACAGTCACTTCTCAAAGGCTAATGTGAATTAAATTAGAGAGGAAAAGGAATTATTTAGAAAAGGCCCCAAAATAAAAGTGGCAGAGAAACTATCTCAAATAGAGATAAAGTTGAGAAGAATTCTTTTCACATTTAAATTGAAAAACATGAGCTTGATCTTTCTGCTATTTCTAGGAAAACTGAAGAGATCCAGGGATTAAGACACACTACTCTGCCCTAGCTATCGGCTCTCGAGCACTGCCAAGGACTAAAAGAACAGATGCTGCTTGAGATAAGCAGCCCAGGGGTACTTTGGGTGCCCCAACTATCCAGAAATGAGGATAAATAGCTAGAAAGATGTGAATACTCGACTATTTTACTATTATACTGTGCGAGGATCACGCATATGTCATCCCATTTAATTTCCTTACATACACCTTCTAAGGTTATTTTTGCCTATTATTTACAGATAGGAAGTAAGGCTTTAGATAATCTAAGTAATGCATATGATTTCACACATAAAATGCATCATGGCACAGCCTCTGGGGCCAAACTGAGTTGAAATCCTAGTTTTGCCACTACCAACTACATGACCACAGGCAGATTGGTTACCCTCTCCCCCTCGTGAGTCTCAGTTTCCTCATCTGTACAACTGAAATACTAGTGTTGATTTGATGTAATAGCTCTGTTTTAAGGGTTAAATGAACATATGTATTTTAATTATAGTTTTAGCTGTTATTATTCTATAACTTATTTCAAGTTAAATTCAAAGTGAAAAGGGACATTTAAAAAAAAAAAGTTGGGGGGAAATCCTGGGGTTTAAGATTTGACCAATTAAAAATTGAAAGAAAGAAGGGCCAGCAGGTGGCATGGTGGTTTAGGCACTGGATCCCATATGGCTGACTCTGTGGTTTGAGTCCTGGCCCTGGCAGCTTGAAAATCACATTTTAGACATGTGCATGTATGTCTAAAATCCCAAGGGGAGAATGGAGAAGAAGGGATTGTGTTGTGGGGGGCGGGGTTCTCACTTTCCTTCTCTCTCTTTCCATCAAGTATACAGGTCTTATTCTTAAAAAAAGACAAAAAAAATGGGATATATCAGGTTTGGTGTAGAAACAACTGTTTTTTCTTATATGTGGTTGCCTTCAATGATGTCTCTTCCTATTCCTACATGCCAGACACGTATGTATGTATACTCAAAATCCCAAGAGGAGAATGGAGAAGGGACTGTGGAGTGTTTATCCCCTCCTGCAGAGTGATCTCTCACTTTCTCTCTCTCTGTCTCTATCCAGTGGCATACTACCTTATGGGAAAAGTTTGAATAAAAAAAATGTCTAGAAATAAAAAAGAGGGAAGATTTTAATATTGGGTTGTCAGAAAAGTCATGACATTTTTTCTATGGAAAAATGGATCATGACTTTTCCAATGTCCCAATAGAACTGATCTATAAAAATCTTGGCCTTCAAATTTATAAATCCAGTTTTGTGACCAGTAGATGGTGTAACGGTTACATCATTAAACTCCCACATGGCCAACCATGGTTTGAGTCCTGGACCCGGAGGCTTGAAATTCACATAGGCGTGTGTGGTTTGCATGCCCCAAATCCCAAGAGGACAATGGAGGAGAAGTGATTGCAGCATGGCCATGTCCCTGGGGGGAGATTTCTCATTTTCTGTCTTTCAGTCTCTCTGGAAAGCACACACCCTATAGCCAAAATCTCTTTAAAAAAAAAAATCCAAGTTTATTTAATGTGTACTACTAAGTGCTACATTTGTTTTTGAAATCAATAAATAAGTCAGGATTTATTAATTAAATCCATGTTATAAAAACCTAACCTTGAAATTCTTGGATGCCAGCTAACTTGGGAGCATCAAGAAGCCAGTCAGTGAGTGTCTGATTCTTGAAGGCTATGCTGCGAAATTGCTTCCCGCCATTCACATTCCAAGTTCCAACACATACTCGAATTTTCTTAGGCTTTGAATACTTGTAGAAATTTTCACACATGTTCTTTAGTACTTTAGAAGATGCTAATCAAAAAGAAGACATAAAATAACTTTAGCTGGATTAAAATATTTATAAAAATTTATTCTAGCAACTAAGATGATGTCTGGAAAGTACAATTATCATTGAAAGCACAAACAAACATAAGGTACATGCACAAGCAAAGAGAAAGATCAGCCTTGAACGAAAAGCTCATAATGAGTCATAAACTAAGAAACAAAGTAAAAAATAAAAAAAAAAACTATAAAATACGACAGCCAAAGTAAAAACTATTACCAACGTATTGCAGCAACATAAAACATGCAGAACATGTTTCAATGAAATGGTATATTATTTTATAATAACAATGCCTAAGAATTGTATATTTTTAGGAATATAGCAATTGGCTTTCGGGCAACTGTCATTGAGAGGCTAGCAAAAATTTACATTTCGTTTCTCCTCCCCAAAACATGAATATTCAATATATTCTGAATCTTGAAACTCTCTCTTGCATTTTTTTTTCTCTCTCTCTCTTTTTTTTTTTTTTGTACTATTTACCTTTTCCCTTCTAGACCACATTCCATTTTTGTTAAGTTAAAATCTTGGCACGGAATGTGGATAGAACCCTAGAAAGACCTCAATCTAAAAACAGAATTTGCACTTAATAGGCAATTAAATGGTAAGAGAAAGGAAATCAGTATTTTTACTTTTTATCACATGACCTAATTTTATTATGATGTTACTATTTACTTTATGATACCAAGATATAGCAGTCTTATGAGGAAATGAGTGAAAAAGGCAAATAATACCTTACTATTATTATGAAAATAGTTGTGACCTGCAAACCCTCTGAGAACAGCTGATTTAGATGGTAAACACATCCTAAAGCTCCCAGGAGCAGATATGCAGACTTCTCACTCTCTTTCTATTTGATTTGACTACTTCTATAGAGGTGTCTGGGTGGTGAAACAGATGATTTGTCATGACTTGTTGATACAGTTAACTTAAAGCTAACTGTACCTACACAAAAACCTCTCCAATGCTACAGTTTATCATTGGTCTTTAGCTAAAGCCATTGCCATTATTACTATTGTGAAAACAAGCTTCTAAAATCTGTTCTATATTAACTCCCAAATTCTATAATGATCATGCAGCTTAAAATATTCGACAAGACAGACAATGAACTACACGAACAAAGACTGTTGCCTATTGTATAAACTAATAAAATCAAGCAATTTTAAAAAATGAAATAAAAAGGTAAAAGAACTTATTCCTAGTTTATTCTTAACTGTTTGGCCCTTTAATGTTCTTAAAGAAATGAGTCTATGCTAACACAACAGATGCCCATCCCTATATACTGTATCATTTCAGAAAATGATGTTCATTACATAACTCAGAAATTTATCTAGGACCAGCCAGGTGGTGTGGTGGTTAAGCTGGTTGAGTATCACATGGCTCACTGTGCAGTTTGAGTCCTGGACACAGTGGCTTGAAAAACATTCCAGGTGCGTGTGTGCATATGCTCAAAATCTCGAGAGGAAAATGGAGAACAGATTGCAGCATGGCCATCCCCACTGAGTCAGGGGGAGTGGCAGGGGTTTATCTCTCACTCTCCCTCTCTGACAAGCACCCATGTCAATAGCCCCCTCGCCACAAAAAAATTCAAGTGCTCCCTCCATCCTTCTCAGAAATATATAACCGGGACCAGCAGTAAGTGTAATGGCTATGTTGCTGGACTCCCATGTAGTTGACTGCGGTTCGAGTCCCGGACCGGGTGGCTTAAACTCACGCCAGGACCGTGTGCGTGCGGGCCCAAGATCCCGAGAGGAGAATGGAGGAGAAGGGATTGCGGCGTGGCCATCCACCCTGGGGGGGTGATTTCTCGCTTTCTGTCTCTCTGTCTCTCTCTGTCTGTCTGGTGAGCGCACGTGCCCTATAGCAAAAACCTCCCCCCCCAAAAAAAAATATATACAACCAACAGCTTCTCAAAACATTAATAATAACAAAACAAATCTGAAGTCCAAATCTAAGAGGAAGAAAAGATGTCACTGTTGGCTGAATTTCTGGCAAGAATTTAGGTTTTTTTGTTGTTATTATTCCTTTTGTCACAGATTCATGTTTTTCTTTTTTTTTTTTGAGAGAGGTTTTTCACTATAGGGCGCATGCGCTTGCCAGACAGACAGAGAGAAACATAGAGACAGAAAGCGAGAAATCACCCCCCAGGGGGGATGGTCATGCCGCAATCCCTTCTCCTCCATTCTCTTCTCGGGATCTTGGGCACGCACACACAAGCGCCCGGCGTGAGTTTTAAGTCACCGGGTCCAGGATGCGAACCGCGGTCGACTATGTGGGAGTCCAGCGACATAGCCAATATTCTAACTGCTGGTTCCCACAGATTCATGTTTAAAGACAAGATCATAAACTGCCCAGAGCATGAAAGCATGAGATGCCTACAAATAAATAGGCAAAAAAATAACCTCCAGGTCTTATACACTTAGTTTGTGTCTGTCTCTGTTTCCTGGCAGAAATAAATAAGACAAACAGTGCATCAGTTAAGTGCTTCATGGAACATGGATCCCATACAACTGACCAGGCATCCTACCCGAGTCCCACAGGCTTCATGCTGGGCACACATGGAAGGAAAGAACTGCCACATGACAAAGCCCACTGGAGGTGCGTGCTCTCTCTCTCTCTCTTTCTTTCTGTTTCTGTCTCTCTCTCCCCCTCTCTCATATCTGCTAGCATAAATTTTTTTAACTAAATTGAAAGATTTTGGATCACATTTTTAGTGCAGGTGTATAGTTACAGAAAATATTTCCTTCATAATATTAAAAAAGACAATGCAATCTTAAATATTATGTGTAAGAAATACCATTGAAGGGCTGGCACGTGGTGTGATGGCTAAGACACTGGACTCCCACATGGCTGACTGCGGTTTGAGTCCTAGACCTGTGACTTGCTTTCTCACTTTTTCTCTCTTTCTCTTTGGTCAAATTAAAAAAAAAAGTAATAATAAAACAAAATAGTTCTTTTTTTTTTTAAAGAAATACCACTGAGTAGTCACAAATATTACAGACAATATTCTGGCATTAATCCAAATAGTTACATCTGTGCTCTTTTCCGCTGGCCTATTAATAGTAAGGTATAATGTTAATAATGTTTGTTCAATAGAATAGAACAGTAAAATTAAAACAAGCTAAATTATTCTTAAATGGAATTTAGCATTTGCTAAAGGAAGACAAAGATCATTGCATATTTCCTTCTGAATGAAATATTAAATTTTCTCAAACTTAAATTTGTATTCTCAGATTAAAACAAGACATCAATTTATCCTGTTAGATTCTGAGATCAAAATTAGGTAGTTCACTTCTATGCTTTATTTATTCACAATACCAACTTAAAAAAAAAAAAAGTTGCTTTTACTCATAGATTGATTTTCTATACTGTACCTGACTGTAATGTCTGTTCAGAAACTACGGATGCATCAAGAAGAAAACAAAGATTCATTAGTAAAACATGTTACAGTTAAAATCTAGGGCTATGATGAAACACTCTGAAATGGCCTCACTTTCTTCTTTTAAGTCAACTGGATGGCTATTTTTTCTGATGCTTTCAATAGATACCAAATATTACAAATAAATGACAAGAACTGATACAAACCCTCTGCAAAGGAAAATCCTACAGAGACTCAATGATGTCCACCATTTCATAATCAGATGGTCCATAGACCTGCTTCTTGGGCAGCTCCCGTGTGTGTGTATGTGTGTACAAGCACACACCTGTGAATGTGTGTATGCTGTGAGAATATGAACATGAATATGAAAACCAAAGAAGCTGAAGGATACTGAAGATATATAGAAGTTACTGTCCTAATATGCACCCTTTAGTATTTCTTCTGGGACTCACCAGTTGATAAGTACAATCAGTTCAGCTATAAGAAGACATATGCATTCTAAAAATATCGCTGTGCTATGCAAAATTGTGGCAATTCCAACAGTCACAGGGCTTATAGGAAAAATGAAATCAGGAGCATCATACCCAAAAACTTGAACAGTGACACACTCATAAAAGATAAGAACCTAATAAAAACAGCAGTGCATCATTATATGCATTATAACTAAGAAATATAAGAATAGTACAGTAAATATGGTATTTCATCTTAGAGAAAAACATAAAGTTGGCTGGTAGAAATAGGCATCAAGAAGTTGCAGCTTGTGAGTAATCCTGAATGATGGGAGAAGGGCTATCTCAAATTGGATGGAGTGTTGAGACACCAGATACATTGATGGGCAGGGCTCATAGCACACATGGTGAACTGAGATAGGGAAGATGTCTGAGATGTTGCATGTGTGTTTTATATATTCTACCCATCTCAGTTCTGCTGGCTGCCATTTTCTGCATTTACCTAGCATTGATTGCTGGCAAAATCACACATAAGCTCATGCAAAACTGGCATTATGCTCAGATCATTCCCTAATGTATCAGCTGTGTTGTAGCAAATTCCATTCTCAGAACAAGCATTAGAGCAGAACTGACTGTATTCTTTTTTTTGTTTTTATTGGCACATTTTACTTATAGTAAAATGTGCAGAAAACTGAAAAAACTAATGTTCAAATGTGGGAATTACTTAGGTCCTTTGCTTCTCCTCTTCTTTCCTTCAACCACTTATGTCCAATTGTTGCTTATTAATGCCTCCACATCAAAGTAGGCACAGGTGGAAAGAAGTGACAAAACACAAATCAGTCAAGTCTCTACTTTGGAAGTCAGGAAGAGCCTGAATTTTAAAGCAGTAGCTTAGATCAGATTTTTTAAAAATGAGTTCTAGCAGGTCTCAATCTCCCACCTCCCTTCGGATCCCTGAAGAGCTGCCTGTAATTAACTACCTTCAGAACATGAAGCAGAATTCTGAAGGAATCCATGAAAACCTATTTGACCAAGTAATGACCAGAGAGTATATTACTTGACACAGGAATGATTCTCTCCTATTTGAAAAGGGAATACTTAAAAGGTTTGGTCTGAGGCTAAAAGAAAAAATAATGTTCAGAGTGCTGAAAAGTTAAAATGGAAAAAAAAGTAAAAGTGGAACTCAAGAATTCTCATTTATTTTGTCAAGTACACCTAAATAAAGCTAAGAGGGGAAAGAACAGAAAGTCTAATATACTCAGTTCTACAATAAAAAGTTGACTTTTCTCATAATACTATTTGTATGTGCTCACTGATACGAGAAGCTCAAATTTTTTTGGTTTTAATAAAACACAACTGTTGAAAGGTAAAAAGCTGTAACAAACGCCATATATTTAAGTCAAATATTAAAACTGGTAATGGCAGTTTGTGTCCAGAAATAAGTACTACTTTATTATGAATATGATATAAGGCTTGTTCAAATAAGAGCAGTTAAAAGTGAAGTACAACTTACAAAAACTTTTGGAGTATTATGATTAGAAAAATAACCGATATAAGGAATTGTTTTTTTCAATAAAGCATTTTTTCACATAATTAATTAAATGTGCTATTATAAACACTAATGGAATATTCTATGAGATTCTACCCAGTACAAAGTGAGCAATACTTAAATTACCCCTCAATCATACTCTGTAGAAGAAAACGTGCATGGGCCTCAGTTTATGGCTTAATAATACCACTGACAGTTTAAATATTTCAAAAGATGAACTTCCTTGGAGAATGTAATTTTTAAACATTGTCCTTATAGAAATTCCTTCCAAAACTATTTTTATCAACTGCAATCTAAAAATTATTTACATGAATAACCTTACATTTACCTCCTGGACTTTCAGAAGGAGTATAAATAACACAACATAAATAAAACATAAAGTACACATACCGCGCAAACTTCCAGTAGTTAAAAGCGCCCGGGCCTTGTCAGCTAAATCACTATTTAGAGTATTCCCCAGGAGCAAAACATCAATGGCCTCTTGCTTGGAGCTGTCAAAGAAGTTATTCTGAATTGTTCTGGTAACAGAACGAGCACCGTCTTTTAACTTTCCAGTCTGTTGAGGGAGAAAGGAGCATGGACTTTCATTCTAACTACTGTTGACTTTACTTAGTAGGTATTTTGAAACTTTAAAATGGTTTTATGTGTGTTTTTTGGCATTAAAAAAGGACCTAATCATTTAACTTTAAAATGCCTCAAGATTCACTGTTTCCTTTCTTCTTTTGATAACAGCTCTACACAAAGAAATAAAAAAAATCTCAGTGCCACAACTGTATCCAGTAATGACATCTAGAGCACACAATGCTAAAACCGTTTACTATAAATAAAGTGTGCTTATTTAAAACAAGGCAATTCCTTCTTACATCATAATTTTTAAACCTGGGGATGGGGTGGTAGCAAGAGGTAGAGGAGATAAAGGAGGACACACTAAACTTGCATGGGTCTAGAAAAATTCCAATTGCTTTGATAGCAGAAAATGAAAATTGTTCTCAAATCATTTTTATTAGTTAAGACTAAAACTGAACTTAAAAATGAAGGTTTCGATCTAATAAAAAAAATGTGCTGGACCAGCAGATGGCATAGTGGTTACATTGCTGGACTCCCACAGTCAACTACAGTTTGAGTCCTGGACCCAGTGGCTTGAAAATCACACTGGGCATGTGTATATGCAAGTCTGAAACTCCAAGAGAATGGAAGAGAAGGGACTGCAGTGTGGCCATCCCCTCTGGGGAGTGATTTCTTACTTTCCCATTGTCTCTGTCTGTCTCTCTCTCCAGCAAGAGCATGCACTCTAAGGCAAAAAAATACCTCTTACAAGGGAAAACAAACAAACAAGCAAAAAAAAAAAAAAAAAACCTTTGCAATGACAGTTCATAAATATTACATGTAAACTGCAGTTGGTCTGTTTTAAGTTTCTTTATTGTCAATGCAAATACAAAATCATAAAAAATAAATCAATTCCTATAGTGATAGTGATTATAACATTTAATGAATATACATTTTACCTAGGCATAAAGTTATCATAAAGAGTATTTATTTTGATCTTATAGATTTTGATAATTGTCAAAAACTCTCTTGCTTTTTAGAAAATAACTCCAGTTTGTGATATGTAATTTTTTTCTTATAAGGATAATAGTAATTAGAAGCTTCTTTTCAGATGAGTCAATTTCTTTAAATGCCATTCAATGCCACTATACTTAACTAGCTATTTAAACTGGCATTAAAATGTTACTTCCTTCCATATGACAACATTTGCAAATGACACTATTTGAAAGGACACTCACCATTCACATTATCGGGCAATTAATCAAAAGGAGCCCAGAGAAAGGAAAAGAAAGAGTAGTTCAGATGTTAGATTTTAGTTTAATTCAGACTAGTATATTTAATATACAAAATTTCACATCTATATATTATGTTAAAGATAAAAGACCACTGAAAATATATGTAACTTCTGTACATATATTGTCTTAGTCACTGAACAAAAATACGGAAAGATATAAAAGAATATTTTAAGTAATTGTTGAGAATCAGCTTTTAATAGCAAGAATTATATTCTCTATTTAGAAGGAATAAATGAAAGTTGAACAAATTTCAGGTTTGCAAAAATAGAGACAATTTAAGTAGTAACATTTGTAAAAGGCAATACAAATTATTTCTATGAGTTATACAGAAGGAACTGTGCAGATGGGATAATGCCTCTGGGCAGACACATAGCATTTTAAGAGACACAGAAGAGAAATATTTGGAAATTAAAAGAAGACTTGGAAACAATGAGTGGTCTTTAAAGAAGTAGAGCTGCTGTACTGAAGAAGCTGAATGAAAACTATAAAAGTGGTAAATGTTCTCATTTTCAGTCCTGAAATAATTTGAGGAACTGTAGAGATTCAGAATGTTGTTAAATTCAAATGAGATCAGGATCATAAAACAGTTAAACTATACTTAGGTATATGAAATAATGAAAACTATCTCAGGTAGTTCCAAATTCCTTCATAAGGGCCAGATGCTTGAGGGGGAAGTAATCTGCAGATAATTATTAGTAGCAATTAAAAAGTAAAGATGAGACACAGAATTATAGCAATTACGGCCACATCTCACATGTCTTGTTGGCACTTTGCTAGCCTCTTTTTTAAGGTAATATAAGAAAAGAGATAAAAACTTAACAGCTAAACTCTAGTAATGCTCAGCTCATAGTAAGTATTGTATAAATTGCTGACTAATTTGTCTCTCTAGCATCTGTCACACACCTATTAAGCAGCAGCCATTATGTAGAGTGTAAAGGTGATAACACCAAATCAGATGGAACCTTTTGTTAGGAATATGGTTTAAAAACTAATTTTATAATCAAAATAAATATAAAAGGAAAACATGTAAGGAAAAAAACATAAAAAATATAAGGTCTTCAAGAAGTTAATAGAAAATACACAATGTAAAGAACTATGTATGAATTTCAATTTTTTGGAACCAAAGTGAATTCATACTTTAATTCCATTTTTCCATGAGCTTTTTGAAGTCCCTTTGTATAGTCTTAGTAGACTACCCCTCAATGTCTAAGTATGTCATATACATATACCCTTCAACCCAGGGAAATATCTATCTTACATTTAAAGCATTAGTATCCTCTGTAGAAGGAATTATCAAAAGAACATAAAAGCATATAAAACAGAATTCTAGAAACACTTTAAAAATTTTAAAATCTATTAATTATTAAAATGCCATTTAAAAAGCTTTACAAGGAGAAAATAAAGAGCATCATTTGCAATGTTATGATATATCTAGATATACCTTAGCCTTCCCTTCAAGAGCTCCAGTTCCTGCATATATCTTACTGATTGAATCCCCATTCACAGACCACATTGACCGAAAAACTTCTTGAAAGCGAGTCACCAACTGAGGCTTTTCAGCCAAGCCAAGGGCTTCCAACTGTTTGGCTAGCATCTAAAATACCAGAAGAGAAAGTTTTATATAAGCATATTAATATATTGTGATGTGACTTTTATGAACTAGAAAAATCAAACCAAAAATTTTAAATTATAGGAGTATATAGAACTGGATACTGAAATCAATAGCTTACTAGGTTAAGTATTATTAATATTTTCCATCATTTCAACATTTCAACTTTTTCTTTTTTTCAAATTTTTTACAGAGTGTGTGTGTGTGTGCTTGCCAAAGGGAAACAGAGGAAAAGAAAGCTTCCCCATGGGGGATAGAGTCGCACCACATTCCCAGCTCCTTCATTCCTCCTCTTGAGATTTTGGGACACCCATACACATGATCAGTGTGTTTTTCAAGTTACCAAGTCTGGGACTCAGACTGAGCAGTTGGTCATGTGGGACCCAACCAGCATACCACTGGTTGACCCCCATTTCAATTGTTAAAGTAAATACCACATCAGTTAAAATGGTAACTTGGTATTCCCTTGTCTTAACGGAAACTTCTTAAAATTATAAAATTAACCCTATTAACATGTTCCTGTAAATCACATTAGTTTACCATGCTCACCTAAAAGAACAAACTAATCAATAGCATGTGTTAGACTAAAGAAAAATATTTACCTAGTTTAGCTAAAGATATCTGAAAATAACTACATGTTTGAGACATTATGAGAAAAGATGAGCTGCTTTTAAACTGTCACAAAAATAAAGAAAAGTTATAGCTCTTAATACAATCAAGATAGATTTTATGTATAAAATCTGCATTGATAATGTATATGGGAGAGAACAGAGAATTCAAGGAATTCAAGAACCTCTGGATTACCACAGTTTCTTCATCACAGATAACAATGAAGTGTTCAGAAAAGTTATTGATCTTGTCTGCATTACACCCTTGAAACCTGGCAGGGTCAAAGCAATATACACTCCTTATTCAGTCTATTTTTCTTATTGAGTGTAGAATTCAGTCGTAATCCATGCCTTGCATTTTCACTTACTCCCATTTATATTTTTTAACTTATCTCCAAGTATGGTAATTATCCATAATTTTAGAAGAATCAAAACTAAAACAATATTCTAAAAACTCTAAACTGTGTTCACTGTATTGCCCAGAGACTTACACAAACTGTTTTTTGCTCACGTGGAGAATAAAAATAAGCCTCTAGGACCTCCTATATCATTTAAACCTTTCTTTCTTCAAGAAACTGGGCAAAACTGATCTTCATTATTACTGCTGGATTGTAGGAAACATCATAACACATTTTTGCATAGAAAAACAGAACAAAATAAGTCATGACTTTTCTGACAACCCAGTAGTTTGGTTGTGCCTACCTTAGCAATAAATTTTGTAACCAGTCAACTAACTGCTATCTTGAGGAATGTTTTCAAATACAGCTACCAACAGTGGAGACTCAGCTAAGTCATAAGCTGAAAACTAATACCTGCTATCTTTTTATGAAGAGGATCACATATTTCAATAAGCTTATTATTATCAGAATCCAAATACACATATTCAACCACTCAAAACCAAAACTTGACACAAACCAAGCCATGTGAAGAACTCTATCTAAATGAGCAATATTTACTTTTCTTATCTCTATCATACTTTCTAAGTAAATTATAATAATAAACATTGGTAGATTTCATAAAAGTCAAATCAGTAGTTCCATGAAAATTACATTTTTGTAATAGAATTTTACATATAGTAAAAAGAACCTCAGCTGCAGAGTAACTAATCAATATTCTGGCCAAAATGAAGATCACTAACTAGAGGAACTAAGGATATGTTACTACCTACTCCTGTTTTTTATACTACTAGGTCATCAGGAAAGTCATGATATATTTTTCTTTTTTGGGGGAGAGGTTTTTTTCGCTATAGGGCGCATGCGCTCGCCAGACAGAGAGAGACACAGAAAGTGAGAAATCGCCCCCCCGGGGGGATGGTCATGCCGCACTCCCTTCTCCTCCATCCTCCTCTCGGGATCTTGGGCACACACGCACACGCGCCTGGCATAAGTTTTTTAAGCCACCAGGTCTGGGACGTGAACCGTGGTGGACTATGTGAGAGTCCAGCGACATAGCCATTACACTAACTGCTGGTTCCCATGATATATTTTTCTATGCAAAAATGTGTCATGACTTTCCTGGCGACCCAACAGTATGCTTAAGTTCTTATGGAACTAAATGAAATCTATCTCAGCCTCATGACCCTAACTTGCACAAGAGGGAAGACTAAGAAACCTCCGCCCTAATTAGTGGTTTTGACCTGGTGGTAGCAGGGGCTGGACTTCATCAGGCTGACAGCACAGACTGAGTCCTGAAGTTGATGACTTGAGAAACACACTAGGCACACGTGCATGTATGTCCAAATTCCTCGTATGGTAAGAAAAATGGGGAAGGTGTTATAGCATAACTATACCCCATTGGAGTGTTCTTTCTCCCTCTCCTCCCTCTTTCTGTGTGGTAAGCCTAAGTGATCCCTACACATTAAAAGGAAAGAAAGAAAAGAAAGAAGCTCGGTCTTAACACAGTTTGTCAAAAAATTATGTTGACAGTTAGACTGGTTTTGATGAATAAGGGGGTAAAGACAAAGATCTTATCAGAAAAGTTGAATCTCACTTATTTTCTATTTTCTTGTTGAGATCTGGGGCACACATGCACTCACACACACAAACCTGGCATGATTTTGAAGGCACCCAGTCAGGGACTTGAATCGTGGTTAGCTATGTGGAAATCCATCGATGTAACTGTTGCACCATCTACTGGTCCTATCACTTATTTTCATTCTCAATAACATTAGCATTTTCATCTGATCCTGTTATTTTGTAGCTACAAATTTGAAAATGCTAAACAGGACTGAGTTACAAGCTGTCAAAAATAGCAGCTTGTAATAGCAGGTATCCATGAACAAATTTTCTCAATGCATGTATCATTGCCTCCCTCAATGCATGTATCATTGCCTCTCAGCTGACCGGAATAACCTTGTGTCCAAGTCTTTGGTTAAAGAGAAGATATATGACTATTTTATTTAGTGTGCTCTTTCACAGAACTAGGTTTTCAAATAAATACATTAAAATCTCAAATATATATATGTGTGTGTGTATATATATATATATATATATGTATGTATAAACACGTCACCATCATATTTTTAAAAGACAACTCAGAGGATAAAAGCCAAATAAAGCAGCGATTTTTGAAAATATATAAATAGCAGTTTTTAAAGAAGGGAGGTAAAGAACAGTGGAGCGGAGTAGATAAATAGAAAATATAGGTGACAGTAAAGAAAACGCTACACTACACTACTCGAGACTTTATCTCCCCTAAGAAAAGAATAGAAGTAAAGAATGCCTTTAGTGAAGCATAACATTTAGATTTTCTGAATGTAATGAGAAAAGTATCACAAAAGTACTCAAAAAGGCATGACACAAAGCACATACATTTTAATTCATTTTTTTACCTCTAAGCCAAGGAATGCCTGCACACTATTTGTTCTATCAAGACAATCCAAGCAGTTTGTTCGAACTGTACCACTCTGGCATCTGTAACAAATTCAGTAAAGTTAAAAAGGTAGTTTGGAATGAAAACAAAGCTAAAGCAAACTGAAACTAATTGATGTGATTAAAATGAACCACCCACTTTCCCCTTACAACTTATCTTTACAATTTTTCAAACATACAGAAAAGATGGAAGAATTGTACTGTGAACATTCACCCATCCACCATCTAGATTCTACAACTATTAACATTTTTCAGGTATATTTTTTAACACCAGCAGTTCTGTGTACAAACATGCACAAGAGAGAGAAAGCATCCCTCAGTGGGGCCTGGACACACTGCAATCTTTTTTTGTCCAATTCTCCATCCCATCTGGATCCTGGGGGCATGCACACATGCCCAGTGTTTTTCAAGCTGATGGGGCCCAGATCTGGGGGCTTTCTCTGTGCAACTCCTGACCACCTAACAGGGCTGATCCATGCTATATTTTCCTTATTGTGTATTTATCATACACTTATTTTTAATCAGGCCAGTAGTTAGGAGCTAAGGTTTACAGTCCTATAGTTCTTTGCATATAAAAGATAATTGAATCTTTATGGAGTAAGGTTTAAAAAAATCTAAGCTGTTATCTTTACTGTCTTATAATATTTCTATGGCACTGATACAAAATGAAATATTACACAAACTGAAAAAAATTAAAAATTTGAATTTTGTTCACTGAAGTTTACCATAACTTATATTCTGAACTTTTCTCCTCTAATTTACAGAAGTTTAAGATTTAAATTACACTGAAACAGACAGAAAGCAAAATGTTTGACTTCTATTTGTATTTAACAGTTTTCAGTGAGGTTAAGGAATATTAAAACATTAGCTCTGAAAGAGAAGCAGAGGGCTGGCCCTACATCCTAGCAATTAAGGATAGCAGATACCACATGGCCAATCATGGTTCAAATCCTAGCTCCAGCAGCTTGATAAACACTCCAGGTGCACATGCCTACATGCCCCAATCCTGAAGGATGGAGAACTGGAGGAGGAGGAATTACAGTGTGACCACGCCCTATTGAGGGATGCTTTCTTCTTCTCTTTCTTCCTTGGTTTCTCTCTCTCTCAGGCAAGTGCACATGCCCTCTAGCCATTTTTAAAAATTTAAAATACTAATAATAAAAAGGAGAAGTAGAATAATTTTGTGACAGCATGAGCTCTGAAGCCAGATGAATCCCAGCCCTAATACTTCTTAGTTACATGACTGAACAATTTATACAGTTCCTTCAAATGCAAATGGGCGTAAAAACAAAACCTACTCTCCAACTGTTGTTACTGATCCTGTGAATACTCAGTTTACTGCCTGACCTATAATATTTGCTCAATAATGTAACCTCTTGTTATTTGTTGAATTTGCATGATTAAAATCAAGTATAAGAAAGATATTACATTATAAATTTCAATTTCAAAAAGGAAAATTTAAGGAGCCAGCAGGTGGTGTGGAGGTTAAGGAGCAGGATTCTCACATGGTTGACCATGGCTTGAGTCCTAGAGCCAGATCATGGCTTGAGTCCTGGGGCCAGTGACTTGAAAATGATAGGGCCTGGGACCAGCAGATGTCGTAATAGTTATGTTGCTGGACTCCCATGTAGTGTACCACAGTTTTAGTCCCAGACTCAGTGGCTTAAAACACGCCGGGCACATGTGCACGTATGCCCAAGATCCTGAGAGGAAAATGGAAGAAAAAGGAGTGTGACATGACTATCCCCCTTGGGGGGGTGGTGGTGGTGGTGACTTCTTGCTTTCTGTCTCTCTGGTGAGTGCACACACCCTATAGCAAAAATCTCTAAAAAAAAAAAAAAAAAATTACAGGCCCAGCAGGTGGTGTAGTGGTTCAAGTGTTGGACTCCCACATGGCTGATTGCAGTTCAAGCCCCTAGATCTGGCACCTTGAAACTCAAATCGGATGTGTGTGCATATGCCCAAAATCCCTAGAGAATGGAGGAGAATGGACTGTGGCATGACCATCCTTACTAGGAGGTGATTCTTCGCTTTCTCTCTGTTTCTCAGGCAAACACACGTGCCCTACAGCTAAAATCTTTCTAAAAAAGAAAGAAAGAAAATCACACGAGACATGTATGCATGCATGCTCAAAATCGCGCGAGGAGAATGGAGGAGAAGGCATAGCCATCACTCCTTGGAGAAGATTTCTCACCTTCCCTCTCTGCCTCTCTGGTGAGAGCATGTGCCCTGTGGCAAAAATCTTAAAATAAAAAAAAGAAAAAAGGGAAAGTAAAGAGTTCAATGTTAAGTACAATTTTTAAATTATAGCAAAGTTAACAGTTTAAAAAGCAGAGAAAAACAGAGCAGTCAAACCTTTGGACTTCACTTCCGTTGAAATAAAAAAATCCATAATCTAGAAACTTCTGGACTTGTGGTTTAAGAACACTATGTAGTTTTTCTGCCTTTCCTCCTTTAACCATTTGATGATAGTCAAAATTCACCATCTGGATATCAGCCGCATGTTCAGAAGCTTTCAAATGACTCTGAAAGTAAAAATACAAATATTCATCTAAATGTTAACTAAATATGATCTTATCAATATAATGGTATATGAAACCTTACATTTTAAGTTAAAACTTCAGTTGGGAACTGAGTGCAATTTCTCTCCTTCAATGCAAGACACAGCTGTAGTGGTCCCTGTACCTACCTCTGGGGCCTCCCTTGAAGTATGCCTTGGCAACACTAAAAAAAAAAAAAGCAAAAAAAAAGTACCTCATTATGGTCTTTTTAACTTTTTCTTTTCTTTCCTTTTTTGGAGAGATTTTTGCTATGTGGTGTGTGTGCTCACCAGAGAGACAGAAAGCGAGAAATTACCCCCCGGGGGGAATGACCATGTGTAATCCCTTCTCCTCTATTCTCCTTTCGGGATCTAGGGCACCCACACACACGTGCCTGGTGTGAGTATTAAGCCTCTGGGTTTGGAACTCAAACTGCAGTTGAGTATGTGGGAGTCCAATGACGTAACCATTACACCATCTGCTGTTCTCAATCTCTTGAACTTTTACAAAACTTTCAACACTAGCGATACAGTGGAAAAATACTTGATATCTAGTGAAATTTTTCTCCTAAAACCTCATGTCGGAAGAGTCATGACATATTTTTCTATGTTTTTAATGCAAAAGTGTGTCACGACTTTCCCAATGACCCAATATTACCCTTGAGAGATTACATGAAATAATGACGTCAGAGAATTTAAATAATATTCTCATCTAGCTTAGAAAATGAAATATTATTTCCAGTCACCAGCATTTTATTTCTGTAACATAAATTTAATAGCTGTTTATACCTATCATAAAAATCTCAAAGTAGGAAACCAGCAGTTAGCGTAATGGCTATATCGCTGGACTCCCACGTAGTCGACCGTGGTTCGCGTCCCAGACCCGGTGGCTTAAAACTCACGCCGGTTGCGTGTGCGTGCATGCCCAAGATCCCGAGAGGAGAACGGAGAAGGGATTGCGGCATGACCATCCCCCCTGGGGGTTGATTTCTCGCTTTCTGTCTCTATGTCTCTCTCTGTCTGTCTGGTGAGCGCACGCGCCCTATAGCAAAAACCTCTCAAAAAAAAAAAAACCTCAAAATAAAGTACCTATTTTTTAAGACAAAACCTACTAAAAATTAAAAATCTTATTTTATGCTTTTATTTAATATATACACAAATTTTAAAGTTTAATCATAAAAAGTCACCCTATAAAGTATATAATCTATATATTAATATTTAACGAGATTTAAAAATAGCCAAATAATTAGGCTATTTTTAGACTTATGAGAATGAACCTTAGAAAATCTTTTCTAACAATTTTCTTTAAATTTATAATGCTATGTAACACTATAATTTATATTAATCCATTACTTATTTAATAAGCATTTGTCGGGGGCCAGCAGGTGGTGTGGTGGTTAAGATGTTGGACTCCCACATGATCCATCGTGGTTTGAGTCCTGAATCTGGTAGCTTGAAAATCACACTGGGCACGTGTGCATCCAAAATCCCAGGAGAAGAATGGAGAAGGGCCTGCAGTTTGGCCATCCCTCCTGGGGGGGGTGATTTCTCACTTTCCCACTCACTCTCTCTCTCCCTGTCTGTCTCTGGTGAGTGCACAGACCCTACGGCAAAAACCTAAAAACAACAGAAAAAAGTATCTGTTAAAATGTCATTTCTTAAGAACTCAGGCATTTCTTTGGGTTCTTTTTTACTTAAAATTCTTAAGTTTTCTCTCATAAATATAGAAGGTATAATCTTGAACATGTGTAACTGCAGTGTTCATCATTTCATAGGGTTAAAGCAATGATTTACATAATTTCTAAGAAGTGGGCAAAGCAATGTGTGGATGAAGGAGGAAACTGCCTAATACTTGTCTACAAGGGATAAATGAACACTTTGGGGAGGTCTTTTTCTGCTTCTCTATGAAGTAATTAAGCAGACTAGAAAACAGTGTCCATTGCCTTGAAAGCTTTCCATAATCCAAACTTATGCAACATCAGCCTAAACTGTTGCCTAATAGGCCCAAGTTCCAAGTGCCCAAGCGTTTCCTAGGAATTAGTTTTCTTACTCGAAGAACTTGATTATTGTGCTATTTTATTTTTTAAATATCATTTTAGGTGCCCATGGGCCAGAATGGAAGAAGAAATGACCATGCTTACCTGGAAAGCCTTACTTAGCATATGTTCGCCTTCCTTAGATCCAAGCAAATTCACTACTATTTGTTTACCATATAAATTTTTAAGTGTTCTAAAATGCCTATTTAAAGAAAGAAAAGAAATAAGTATATGTCAAAATAAAGACCCGATTTTTTGTTGATATACAAGAATCCATTATTAAACAGAAGCTACATGGCAATATTTAAACTCAAAATTGGTATCAATTCATTCTACACAGTCTCAGAACTCTGAATTTATGAGAACTTGGTTAATGTGCTTTTCTCTCTGATTTATAGATGCAAAGAGCCCCTATGCTGGAACTATGGAGCCATCCAACTCTCTTCCCACCTTGAGGCTGGCACAAAACAAAGTAGAACACCAGTCACCAGCAGCGCTGGGAAGGCAGGAGGGGCAGGAGACAACAGCCCCATGGCTCACACGTGAGGACATTACATCCCCCACGAGTATCCAGAGGGACCTCTTTGCTAGCTCTAGCCTTTAGAAGAGCTCGTCCTGTATCTAAGTCTTTTTTTCTACTCCAGCTTCTAACCAGAAGCCATGAAAAGCCTCTGGTAAACAAACAAACAAAAATAACATGAGCTACATCTATGATTTTACGTTTTTAAGAAGGTACATTAAAAATGATTAAGAAGAAACAGATGAAATTCAATAACTCAACACATCTAAAATGTCACTTCAACATGCAATCAATATAAAATGAATATTAATGAGATACTCTTTATTCCTTTTTTTTTTTTTGGACTAAGTCTTTGAAATCCAGTGTGCATTTTTTTTTTTGAGAGAGGTTTTTGCTATAGGGCACGTGCACTCGCCAGAGAGAGACAGAGAGACAGAAAGTGAGAAATCATCCCTCAGGTGGGATGGCCTTGTTGCAATCCCTTTCCTCCATTTCCTCTCGGGATCTTGGGCATGCACACACATGCGCCCGGTGTGAATTTAAGCCGCCGGGTCTGGGACTCGAACTGCGGTCGACTACATGGGAGTCCAGTGACATAGCCGTTATGCTAACTGCTGGTCCCCAGTGTGTATTTTTAAAGTATATCATTTATTTCTTCCAAGAAAGAAAGGAAGAAATGAGAATGAGAGAAGCAGAGACAGGCACCCCCAATGGGGTCTTCACACCATGATCCACACCCCAGCCTCAGTCAGTCAGGATCATGGACACAGGCATGTGTATGTGTACAGGGAGACCTCTCAGGACCCAAATCTGGGGCCTTCCCATGTGGCTTCAGCATGGCAGAGTGTTGCGGTGCCACGGTGCCGCTGCAGTTGGCCCAAGGTACATTTTACACTTACGACATATCTCAATTAGAACTAGTCATATGTCTAGCACTCAACAGATAAACGTTGCTATTGGCTACTGTATTGGATAGCACATCAGTAAAGGACATTTTAAGACCAAGAGATGAAGACCCACACTTCCAGCACTAGTCCCTCTAGAAATCATAGCACTAAGTGTCATGATCTTCCCATTAAATTAGAAGTCAGAAGGAATTTTACATAGAGCCAAAAGTGTTGAAATGAGTCAACAAATATAACTAGTCTCACCACTGGGCATTATCAAAATTTATAACACTATGTAAATATAAATAGTTTTACCTGTCAAAAGCAGGCGCATTGGCTTCAAATCCCCTTGACATCCGGACACGATGAGATCCCACCTTAGACAAGAAAAATACATTTAATTATACCAAAATCAATATATAAACAAAAGAAATATCACTGCTTACAATGTATAGTGATTAGGGACCAGCAGGTACAGTGGTGGTTAAGGTGCTAGACTCCCGCATGGCCGACCATGGTTTAAGTCCTGGGCCTGATGGCTTGCTTTCTTTCTCTTTCTACCCCTCCTCCCTCTGGTGAACATGTGTGCCCTGTAGCAAATTTAAAAACAGTAATAATAATGATAAATAAAATAAAATAAATAATTCTCCTCCCCCTAACCCCCAAGATTTTTGCTATAGGGTGCATATGCTCGCCAGAGAGTCAGAAAGCAAAATATCACTTCCCAAGGGGGGATGGCCATGCCACAATCCCTTCCCCTCCATTCTCCTTTTGGGATTTTGGGCATGCATGTACACGTGCCTGGCATGATTTTTAAGCCACCTGGTGCAGGACTTAAACTGCAGTTGACTATGTAGGAGTCCAGCAATGTAATCATTATGCCATCTGCTGGTCCCATAAAATAATTATTTTAAAAAATATGTAGTGATTCATTTGCTGGACACAGAGTAATCATTCTTTTTTTTTTATTTTTTTATTTTTTGGAGAGGTTTTCACTATAGGGCGCGTGCGCTCGCCAGACAGACAGAGAGAGACATAGAGACAGAAAGCGAGAAATCACCGCCCAGGGGGGATGGTCACGCTGCAATCCCTTCTCCTCCATTCTCCTCTCGGGATCTTGGGCACGCACGCACACGCGCCCGCCCTGAGTTTTAAGCTACCGGGTCCGGGACGTGAACCATGGTCAACTACGTGGGAGTCCAGCGACGTAGCCATTGCGCTAACTGCAGGTTCCCTCTTTTTTGTTTTTAATTTGCTATAGGGCAACTGCACTTGCTGGAGAGAAAAAGTAAGAAATCACTCCCCAATGGGGATGGGAACACCACAATCCTTTCTCCTCCATTCTTCTCTCAGGATTTTGGGTATACATGCACACGTGCCAGTGTGATTTTCAAGCTGCCAGATCCAGGACTCAAATCATCAGGTGGGCATGTGGGATCCAGCTGCATTAATCTCCACACCATCTACTAGATCAATAATTCTTTTTCACTCATGATAATTCTTTTTTAAAAAAATAGTTTTAGGGGTTCCCCTTCCCTTTTATTTATAAAAAAGAAACTTCATAAATATAAGAACTAGAAGTTACCTAATTATGAAATACTCATGAACTAATGGAAATTTTTAGTGACAGAAGATATTTTTAAGAGTGCTTTCCTATATGGGTCTGGCAGGTGACGTGGTGGTTAAGGTGGCTGGACTCCCACATGACCGACCACAGTTAAGAGTCCTGGACTGGGCAACTTGCTTTCTCACTGTCCTCTCTCATCGTCCCTCTCCCTGGTCAACTTTGAATGAATGAATGAATGAATAAATAAATAAATGACAATGAATAAAATGAAATAATTTTTTTTTTTTTTTTTTTTTAATTTTAAAGAGTGCTTTCGAGGACCAGCAGTTTGTGTAATGGCTATGTCGCTGGACCATGGTTTGAGTCCAAGACCCAGTGGCTTAAACTCACACCAGGCATGCATGTGTGTGTGCCCAAGATCTCGAGAAGAGAAGGGATTGCGGCGTGGCCATCCCCCTTGGAAGGTGATTTCTTGCTTTCTATTTCTCTTTCTCTGTCTTTTGGGTGAACACATGCGCCCTATCGCAAAAACCTCCAAAAAAAAAAAAAAAAGACCTTGTTTTAAGTACAAACTATATGCCCTGTATAAGACAACAGATATTATTATCATTTAGGTAATAAAAATACTGAAATAAAGACAGGCAAAATAACTTGCCCTCTTAAATCAATGTAACTAATTTCAAGAAGGATTCAGATGAGATTTTATGTCTCCTGACCTCAACTGTCACTCTCCCAAGTTGCCTACCAGTAAAATATCCATATTTTTTTCTCTGCTATGCTAAATACTCTATATTCACCTCTCCCTCACAAAAAGCTCCAAAGAATTAAAAGCATCATTTCTCCCCAGAAAGAGACTTTCCAGGTCAACTTTGCAGTTACATGGCTGTCATAATAGCACATTTTACAATCATAAATTGTATGTTAAGCAAATTAAACAAGATAAAAAAAAACTACGTGTTTTGTTATAATTTTTTCTTTTCTTACACAGGGAAGTGGCAGAAATATGTGGTAAAACTGAGAAATATTTAGCAGTTTCCAAGAAGAAATGTAAAGGTGAGACCAGATTATTTTCCTGAACTTTATTAAGTTCTGGGACTTTGGGATCAAAGTCCCTTCTTCTTAATCTGTGAATGATATGACTTTAAAGGGATTTGGGAAGAGGGTTGCCAAATCAATCATGTAGTCTGACAAATAAAATCAGAACATTGATATTCTCATCCAACTCCAAGACTTGAATTAACAATATTATCTTTCATTAAGCCTTCTCCCTCAAGTTCCTAAGTCAGACAATCCAATGACTGTCCTGAAAACCAGTGTATTCTCTCTTTAATTTTATTTTTCTTTTTAATAAGAAACAGATTAGCCTAATGTCACATGTATATTTAATTTCATGTTATAGTATTCAATAATCTTTATAAAAATTCAGAATTTTAAAGATGTATGCCCCAGGACATTTAGTATTTTAAACTGCAGAAAACTCAAACATTGCATTTTTACTTTGGCATAATCTCAGGTTAATTGCCTATAACTCTTTAAAAATTCAAGACATTTTGTTCATGATTAATATTGAACTTACATAGTACTGCAGCTATCAATAAGATGAAAAAAATACAAGTTCTCATGTTTTTCAGACACCAGGGGCTGGCTTTCACTACCCACTCACCAACACATACAGACTCTAGCTACATATCATAGCACACATAGCAATATATTGATTAGACTAGACTATGCTGAATTAGTCAATGTTAAAGGAAAAATTCTAAAATAAAAGAGCTGTTATCAATTGTGATGAAAGTAGCACCCCAGTTTTTAAGGCTTTAAATCCCATAAATTTACCTAATTTAAGAGCAAGTTGCATCTGGGGCCGGCAGGTGGTGTGGTGGTTAAGGGCGTTGAAATCCCACATGGCACACCATTTTCTCTCTCTCTCTCTCTCACCCTCTCTGTCCCTCTCTGTTCAAATTAAAATAAATAAATAACAAAGTAATTCCTTTTTTAAATTTTTTTTAGGAAAAAAAGCAAGTTGTATCAACAGTATTTTTAAAAAGCCATTTAGTTGGGTGGTATGAAATATTTTCCATCAGTCTTATTACTTCATGTTTGCGTATTTTTGGAACTTCAATTCAACCAAAAATTGACTGTGTAGCACTAAACTAGGCATAGATCTCAGGAGGCATACCATGATTTAAGACTTATTAAGAGAGAATGTGTGCTCGCTTCGGCAGCACATATACTAAAATTGGAACGATACAGAGAAGATTAGCATGGCCCCTGCGCAAGGATGACATGCAAATTTATAAAGCGTTCCATATTTTAAGATATTCTATGCAAATGGAAATAAAAAAAAGGTTGGAGTAGTGATATTGATCTCAGACAAAGTAGATTTCAAGACAAAGACTGTAAGAAGAGACAGGTGAAAAGAAATAATAAAGGTTCGAGCAGAAATAAATGAAATAGAAAATAAACGAACCATACAGAAAATAAATGAAAGCAAAAGCTGGTTCTTTGTAAAGATTAACAAGATCAACACACCATTGGCTAGACTGATCAAGAAGAAGAAAGAAAGAAACCAGAATAATCAAATATGTGATGAAACAGGCAATATTACCACAGACATAGCAGAAATACAAAATATCATTAGAAGATACTATGAGTGACTTTACACCAACAAACAAGATAACCTGGAGGAGATGGACAAATTCTTGGATGCATATAATCTACCAAGATTGGATCAGGAAGACATAGAGAACCTGAATAGACCTATAACAAGCCAGGAGATTGAATCAGTAATTAATAATCTCCCAACAAAGAAAAGCCCAGGCCCAGATGGCTTCACTTGTGAATTCTACAAAACTTTTAAGGAAGAGTTAACCCCTATCTTACTAAAATTATTTCTAAAGATTCAAAAGGAAGGAAACCTTCCAAATTCATTTTATGAAGCCTCCATCATCCTCATCCCCAAAACAGATAAGGATATGACAAAAAAGGAAAACTACAGACCAATATCATTGATGAATATAGATGCGAAAATTCTCAACAAGATACTCGCAAATCGTATCCAACAACATATAACAAAGATCATTCATCACGACCAGGTAGGCTTTATACCAGGGATGCAAGGGTGGTTCAATATACGCAAGACCATAAATGTAATACACCACATTAACAGAAAGAAAGATAAAAACCATATGATCATCTCAATTGATGCGGAGAAAGCGTTTGATAAAATACAACATCCTTTTATGATTAAGACTCTCAGTAAGATTGGTATAGAAGGGTCATTTCTGAACACAATAAAAGCAATCTATGAAAAACCTACAGCTAATATTATACTGAATGGGGAAAAGCTGAAAGCTTTTCCTCTGAAAACAGGTACTAGGCAAGGCTGCCCACTTTCTCCACTGCTCTTTAATATAGTACTGGAAGTCTTAGCTATTGCAATCAGAGAAGAGAACAGTATTAAAGGCATTCGAATAGGCAAAGAAGAGTTGAAAATATCTTTATTTGCAGATGACATGATGGTATACTTAGAAGACCCAAAGGTATCCATGAAAAAACTGCTTGAAGTAATAAGTGAATACAGTAAGGTGGCAGGATACAAAATCAATATCCAAAAATCTATAGCATTTCTATTTATGAACAACAAGTTGAATGAAGCAGAGCTGAAGAAAGGAATCCCTTTCACCATAGCCACAAGATGTATAAGATATCTAGGGATAAACCTAACTAAGAAAGTCAAAGACCTTTATAAAGAAAACTACGAGAATCTTAAAAAAGACATTGAAAGTGACATAAAAAAGTGGAAGGACATCCCATGCTCCTGGATTGGTAGAATTAACATAATCAAAATGGCAATTCTACCCAAATTAATCTACATGTTTAATGCAATTCCAATCAAAATACCAGAGATATTCTTCAGAGATCTAGAAAAGACAATTATAGAATTTGTCTGGAACCATAAAAGACCTCGTATTGCAAAAGCAATCCTGCGTAAGAAGAATGGAGTAGGAGGCATATCACTCCCTGATCCCAAGATATACTATAAAGCTGTGGTCATCAAAACAGCATGGTATTGGCATAAAAACAGACATGTGGACCAATGGAAGAGAATAGAGACCCCAGAAATAACTCCCAAAGCTTATAGCCAACTGATCTTTGACAAAGGATATCAGTCAATCCATTGGGAAAAGGAAAACCTCTTTAGTAAATGGTGCTGGAAAAACTGGGTATCCACCTGCAGAAAGATGAAACTGAACCCCCATCTTTCACCATTAACAACAGTCAACTCAAAATGGATCAAAGATCTGAACCTAAGACCTCAGACAATAAAACTACTTGTGGAAAATGCTGGGGAAACTCTGGGAGACATTGGAGTAGGCAAAGACTTCTTAAATAAGACTCCCAAAGCACAGGCAATAATCCCTAAAATAGACAAGTGGGACTATATTAGACTAAGAAGTTTCTGCACAGCAAAGGACACAGTAACAAGTGTGAACCGACAACCCTCAGAATGGGAAAATATTTTTGTTAAATATGCCTCAGACAAGGGACTGATAACGAGAATACATAGGGAACTCAAGTGCCTTATGCGAAAAAAAATGATTAACCCGATTAAAAGATGGGAAAGTGAGCTGAACAAAAGTCTCTCTAAGGAAGACATACGAACAGCCAAAAAGCATATGAGGAAATGCTCGACATCCCTCATCATAAGGGAAATGCAGATAAAAACCACAATGAGATACCACCTAACCCCTGTCAGAATGGCAAAGATTAAGAATATAAAAAGTGATAAGTGTTGGCGGGGATGTGGTGAAAAGGGAACCCTCCTACACTGTTGGTGGGAATGTAAACTAGTTCAACCACTGTGGAGAACAATATGGAGGTTCCTCAAAGATCTACAAATAGAACTACCATTTGATCCAGCAATCCCACTTCTGGGTATTTACCCAAAAGACAGGAGAACGCTCAGTCAGAAAAGTGCTTGCACATCCATGTTTATTGCAGCATTATTCACAATTGCCAAGACATGGAACCAACCTAAATGTCCACAAACTGATGAATGGATTGGAAAAGTGTGGTATATATACTCTATGGAATACTACTCAGCCATAAAAAATAACAAGACCCTGGAATTTGATAGAAAATGGTCAGATATGGAGGATCTATTGCTGAGTGAAGTAAGCCAGGCGAAGATTATGATGATAATAAAAAATAAAAATAAATTTAAAAATTAATAAAAAATTAAAAAGAAAAAAAAAGAAACTTGGCGTTGAGCTAGATGTGACTATATTCTCTGTAGCAAGATACAAATGACATGTCTGAGTATAGTTACCTTAGATCATTTACAAAAACAGTATAGGTGGTAAAAAAATAAAGTGATTTGGCTTCTCTAAAAAAAAAAAAAAAAAAAAAAGAGAGAGAGTCAGAATGTAACAGTATATAAGGGTATTTCAAAAAGATCATAGAAAATGGATTTAAAACAGGAGTTTATTTTGGTGCAAAAAAGTTTTGAAATCCATGCAGTTTTCTTTTTTTTTTTTTTTTTGAGAGGTTTTTGCTATAGGGCGTGTGTGCTCACCAGACAGACAGAGAGAGACAGGGAGACAGAAAGCGAGAAATCACCCCCCAGGGGAGATGGCCACGCCACAATCCCTTCTCCTCCATTCTCCTCTCGGGATCTTGAGCACGCACGCACACACTCCCAGTGTGAGTTTAAGTCACCGGGTCCGGGACTCGAATCACTGTCGATTACTTGGGAGTCCAGTAACATAGCCATTACGCTAACTGCTGGTCCCCAGTTTTCTTTTTTCATAATACGCATTTCCAAAAATTTTTAAATGTCCCTCACAGAGTATCAGAGTAATACTATAAATTATAAATGCTAAAGAACTTTAAAAAAGGAAACTGTGAGTAAAATAAGATGCCATCATTTCAAATATCATCCTTACCTATACAGCACCTTACTATACTGCATCAAATGAATTCACACTATTTACCTTTTCCATAAAAGACCTGACACCACAAATACAAACTCTATGTGAAGCATAATTATAGCCTTTGAATGTCTCATTCTACCTAGTACAAGATAATACACTGGAAGGACTCAAGTATTTAATGAAGAGATCATTGTGGAGGAGTGACTGGAATCCACTCAATGAGAACTGAATAGTTGTTGAAGGACAACAAACCTTAAAATTGGAAATAGAGGATTCCTGTTAGAAAAGAACAATGCATGAAGTTGGGTGGGTTGAATAAGCTTAATCATGATTGTAATTTAAGAAGTGTGCAATTTTTCCTTCACAGTGACCAACTTATAAAGTAAGAGAGATCCAGTAGTAAACTAAAGGGAGGCAAGATTCTTTTTCTATCTCTCTTTTCAATAATACAGGTTGTAGCACAAGACTTATGAGGCTTTACATAGGGAGAAATCTACAATGAATATAACTTACACTTTTTTTAAATCATCAGAAGATATGTGCACTTGCCAAAACAATAGAGAGACAGACAGAGAAAACAGCCCTAATGGGGCATAGTCATGCTGTAAAACTTTCTCCTACATTTCTCCATCCCACTGGAATTTGGGGCACAAATGGACATGCACCCAACATATTTTTCAAAATGCCAGGATCAGGATTCAAACCATAGCTGGCCATGTGGGATGTGGCTCCCTATGCACAGCACTTAACCACTGCAGACAGGGCCAGCCAGACTTATACTTTAAACACTAACGATTTTGAACTTTTAAAAAATGCAAATCTACGCTAATACAGGCAACCCAATATTATGACCTTACACCTGGGTGTGTGTGTGTGTACTCAAAATTTTGATAGGATGGAGAAATGGAAGAAAAAGAATTGCAGTGCAACCATACCCCCAGTGAGGGTGTTTTCTTTCTCTTTGGTGAGGGTATATACCGTCTGGCAACTAAAAAGATATTAAAAGCAAATCAGAAAACATATTGAAGATGACAGCTCACCACAAATTATAAATTAAAAGTCTATTAAGTTGCCAGGAAAGTCATGACACATCCAGCAAAAATGTGTCATGACTTTCCCAATGACCCAAATAGTAGCAGACATATTATTTACAATAATAATTAATGCTTATATGGTGCTAACTATGTGCAAGCATTATTCTAAGTGCTTTTAACTTAATCCTACAAACACCATTGAGTAGGTACTACTAATATTATTCCCATTTTATAGGTGAGGAAAGTGAGACACAGAGATGGGTTAAAGCATGTGCCCAAAATCACACAGTGAGTAGCGGTAGAATAAAATTTCCAACTGAGAAGTCGGATTCCAGAGGATTTAACTACTACATTCTTCTGCCTAAAGAAACTAAATTATTGGGACCAGCAGTTGGTGTAATGGCTATGTTGCTGGACTCCCATGTAGTCGACTACAATTCAAGTCCCAGACCCGGTGGCTTAAACTCACACTGGTGCATGTGTGTGCATGGCCCAAGATCCCGAGAGAAGAATGGAGGAGAAGGGACTGAGGCGTGGCCATCCCCAATGGAAGTTGATTTCTCGCTTTCTGTCTCTCTGTCTTTCTGGTGAGCGCACGTACCCTATAGCAAAAACCTCTCCAAAAAGAAAGAAAGAAAGAAAAAGAAAGAAAGAAAGAAAAAGAAAGAAAGAAAGAAAGAAACTAAATTATTATATATTAAGAAAATGAAATAGTAAGTATAAAATTACTTTAACAATTGATGTGCTGAGCCAGCAGGTAGTGTAGTGATTAAGGTGCTGGACTCCCACATGGCAGTCCATGGTTCAAGTCCTGGACCTGGTGGCTTGCTGTCTCACTCTCTTTCTCTCTCTGGTCAAATTAAAATAAAGTTAAATATTCTTTTTTTGTTTTTGGAGGTAGATCTTTAAAAAAAAAAAACTAATGTGCTATTAAAAGGTTAAGAGAGACAGAAAAAAGTCAGAGATAGAAAGTGAGAAATCACCCCCCCAGGGGGGATGTCCATGCCATCATCCCTTCTCATTTCTCCTCTCAGGATCTTGAGCACACACACACACATGTGCCTGGCATGAGTTTTAAGTCATCGGGTCCAGGACATGAACCACAGTCAACTATGTAGGAGTCCAGCTATGTAACCATTACAACATCTGCTGGTCCCAAAACCTTGAAATTTTTAAAATTAAATATAACAGCTGGAAAAATGAAATAGCAAGCTCAATTTTTATGGATATTTTAAAGAAGAAACTAAGTTCCAGCAACTCTATATACAGGACCTTATTTCTGAGCCAAGCTAATGTTATTCAATGGAACAATGGAGCTACTAATGAATTAATGAATATCTTGAAAATTTAGATAATATGAAAAATATTTTAAGAGAAAAATAATAAAAATTGAATCTCAAACACATACTTGCAATCCTGGTTGCTCCCAGAACAATGGAACAGATCCTCGGATTTGTATGAAGGAAGAAACAGAGTCATCTAGGTACACCACCTACAAGGAGAAATAATATGTAAAATATTTCCACAGAAAACGTTACTTCTACGCCAAAGTAACAAATTTACTAAAATCTATTATATACTATTAACATTTTATGACTTGTCTCTCATGCATAGGTTTTCGTCGAATTATTTGGAAGAGGTCACAAAACAAGCTTTTTTTTTTTCCGGTAAGTGATAATGTATTTCCTTTTTTTGTGCTAACGGGCATGTGTACTCACCAGAGTGACAGAGAGAGAGGGAGAGAAGAACATATTTCCATGAAATGATCATGCTGCAATACCTCTCCTCCATCTCTCCCTTCTTTTGAAAGGGTTTTGGGCACACATGCACATGCGTCACCATGTTTCTCAAACTGCCAGGTCCAGAACATGGGCCATGTGGGCTCTAGCTACCTTAACTACCAGGCCACAGAGTCAGCTAGGTTAGTGACAATATTAACCAAAAAACTGTAAAAATGTAAAGCCTATGAATTATAACTTTATAAAAGGAATTTCTTTTAATCTCAGTATCTTATATACATAACTATATTCCACTTAAAATTTTTCTTTAACTGGGACCAGCAGTTGGCGTAATGGTTATGTCAGTGGACTTCCATGTAGTCGACTGTGGTTTGAGTCCTGGATCCGATAGCTTAAACTCATGCCAGGCACATATGTGTGCATGCGTGCCCAAGATCCCAAGAGGAGAATGGAAGAGAAGGGATTGTGGCATGGCCATCGCCCCGGGGTGGTGGGCGGAGGGGGAGTGATTTCTTGCTTTCTGTCTCTCTGTCTCTCTCTGTCTTTTTGGCGAGTGCATGCACCCTATAGTAAAAATACCTCTCCAAAAAAAAATTTTTTTTCTGGACCAGCAGTTGGCATAATGGCTATGTCTCTGGACTCCCATGTAGTCAACCGTGGTTCAAGTCCCAGACCTGGTGGCTTAAAGTCACACCAGAAGTGTGTGCATCTGTGTCCAAGATCCCGAGAGGAGAATGGAGAAGGGATTGCAGTGTGGCCATTCCCCCTGGAGGGTGATTTCTCACTTTCTTTCTCTCTGTCTTTCTGGCAAGCACACACACCTTATAGCAAAAACCTCTCAAAAAATTTTTTTTTCTTTATTTATATTTTTCAAAACCCAACTTGAAGATCTGAGTTGGGCCAGGATATGGCCTGAATTTACCATTATAGTTTCATAGCCGAAAATATCATAATCTTTGATTTTTAGATGGTACATATATCTACCATTTATACCTGGGATTGGGGACCAGCAGGTGGTGTGGTAAGTGAGGCACTGGACACTTCCACAGGGCTGACCACTGTTTAAGTCCTGGACCTGGTGGTGGCTTGGTTTCTCACTTTCCCTCTCTTTCTGTGTCTCTCTATGGTCAAATTAAAATAAATGAATAAATACAATTAAATAATTCTTTTTAAAAAATGGGCTTGAAGGGTTGGCAGGTGGCATAGTGGTTAAGGGTGCTAGACTTCCACATGACTGACCACAGTTCGAGCCCTGGACCTGGAAGCTTGGTTTCTCACTTTCCCTTTCTTTCTCTCTCTGGTCAAATTAAAAATTAATAATAATGAATACAACAGAGGAGTTCCACATCAAATAAATATCTGTTACTCTAATATTTCCTGTGCCTCTCCTATAGCTTGTACATGAATTAAGGAATATAAAATGCCATATACCTGTTCAGTTTCTACGAAATTGGCGACGTGACCATCATCATTTGTTCCCCGGACGTTAAACCTGGTCCCAGCTCGTTCACAGCTTAATCGTGAAATGAGGCAAGCCTTTGCCTGTTTATGAGCAGCGTAAATTGTTCGGATTTCCACCCCTCCACACATGAGACGTAATAGCCAGTCGTCACAATTCACACCATAGTGCTTGAGATGCAAATGCAAAGACTGATTCCTAACGGAAAAAGAAATAACTGTATTCGCTTACCAAGTACTAACTAAGAAAGTGAAAAACTTAAAAAGGGTGCTCCTGGAACATTAATTTAATGTTTTAACACTGAAAATAAGCCTATTCATTTATTTACTATGCTAGGTATCAGAAGATATGGCTATAAAACTAGATCTAGATGCTTAGACATGCGATCTATAGTCCATAGGACAGAATCATTTCTGTGTTTTTTCCAGTACCCTTAACCACCACGCCACCTGCCACCCCCGTTTTTGTGTTTTAGTATCGGTGACCCATTTCTGTTATATCTTTATATATAATGTATTTATAACCTAACTTATTCCAATAAAGATTATGTACATACATACCTATCCCACTCTTTTTTCTAAGTTTATTTCTTCCATAAGTGAGAGAGACAAAAAAAAGTCAGAGAGAGAGCACTCCCAACAGGGTCTCAATGCCATGATCCATCTCCAGCTTCAAGCAGCCCCTGATCACAGGCTTGCACATGCCTAGTGTTCTCAGGAAGGTCTATGGATGGGGATCCAGAACCCTCTCATGTAGGTCAACCTTGCAAAGCATTTTGTTTTACCACTATAACACCATCTAGCTCTACTTTCAAGGCTTGTCTTTTATAAGGCTCTATTTTAATTTACATTTATAGCCAGATGTAGCTGATGTATTAGTTAGTGCAGGTCTAGTTTTTCATTGCTGTAAATACTTTAAGCATTCTAGGTAACAGATGGGATCTTGTTTCCAAACTTAATAGGAAAAACTGTTTTATTCAAACATGCTAAAGTCCGACAATTACAAAATGGAAGCAGAGTGGTTATGACTGAAGTCCTGCTAGGAGTCTCTACTGGAACCGCAGTTCTCCACTGAACACACAGGGAAGCTTCCAACTAACCTCCACAAAAGAAATGTTGAGCAGAAAAACTTAATGATGTGAAAGTGAACTTTATATTTCTGGAGCTTGGTTCTCTGAGTTTTAAAACTCTTGTACCATTTTAATCGGAAGTCTTAGTGTTCTGCAATATTATCTCAAACAAGGTCTAAAATATGTAACAGCATTTTCTTGAAGACTCGGGGCCATTAATGTCAGTAACAGACAGCAACACTGTTCCAGCAGTACTCCCCATCTGCCTGGCCCTCCACTTATGGGCTGCTGCAGAGGTAAAACAGTTGCTGATCACTGCAATTATGGAAAACCAGCTGTGACCTCAGCCCCTCCATCTACCCAAGAAAGCATAAGAACGTAAGTGAGTGATGACATCATGGTCATTCCTCCAGATTACCTGAGAGAGTTTGTCTAGTAGGAGACAGATTAGATCAAAGGTATGGCTAAAACACCAAATAGGGATTTTGCTCACTTTAAAATTCTTAGTTTTGCCAAAAATTTGCCTTCTTGAGCTTCATTTTGCACAGAAAAATGAAAACTTTTGGAATTTATTATGTATACCCTTGCACTTACCAGAAGTATTTTTCAGGACGCAGTCCAGTAATTTATTATTATTTTTCAATGACAGCATGTACATGCATGAGGAAAAGGGGGGGGAGGTGTCTGGACATAATGGGTCACCATCAATTTGAGCTTTGCCTTAGATCACTGTATAATATATAGCACAGGATAGTGGTTTAAGTCAGTGTATTTTAAAAATAAGAATGATCATCAGATTTAACATTATCCCAGTAGTGAAAGTTTCCCTCAGCATCCATAGGGGATTAGACCTAAGACCCACTGCAGATACCCAAATCCCAAGATAGTCCAAGTCCCTTAAGTCAGCCTTCTGTATCTGTGGAAAATACTCAACGTATTGTGTTAACACAGTTTTAACTCTTGGAAATCTATTTCTAAATGCTAGGAAAAAGTACATCCCATTGTTACTAGGTTCTTTGAGCAAGCAAGACATTATGATGTCCATTCATCTGCCCTATTAACTCCTTCTTTATCTTCTTTTTTCTCTCTCTCTCTTTGTTTCCTCCTTTGCTTTAACCCAAGTCTCTAATATATGGTGTTCAAAAACATTTCATTCTGTCCTCCTTCTCCCCCATGCCACTACTATGGTCAAAACTCTTCCATGTGAACTACAAGGTGACCAAGCTGGTGCTCTAACCTTACTTTCCTAAGCTAAGGTTGTTGACTTTGAACCCTCTAACAACCTGGACACCTGAAAGTGCTACTCAATGACCATGGAAGTGCTGTTGTGGAAGCATGAGGGACAGAATCTACACAGGAGGGAAAATCTTGAATTTAAACTATTAAAATGGGGTTAGGCAGGGGTGGGGGGCAAAAGCAAACAGTCCTGACCTTTGGCCTTATAATGTACATCAATATAATGAAACATACTCTGGAATGACATTAAGTCAGCTATGCTGACTCTAGACAATAGAACCACTATACTTGAAATCTGATCTGCTACAATAAAGCAATAATAACTACAGTTCTTTCTGTTCACCCTTGGTGCCTACTTAAAATATAACGGTTAGGCATAAATCCATGAAATACATCACAGTTACCTACCTAAGTTTTATCACACTACAGTATTGGATTTTGTCTCAGTATACTACTTCTTCACAGTCTGTTGCTCTTGAATCAAGATAATCTACTTAAAACCTTACAATTAAAAATAGTAAAGCAAGTTTGTCTCTTACTGACAGAGATGAAATTCTAAAACTAAGAATAATGAATATGAGTGACATGATTTTGTCACAATTGAATTGATTTCTAAATTTAAAACACATACTTTAAATATATTTCTGAAGTGAAAGGTTAGTCTAGATCAGGTTAGGCAAATGGGTTTCATGTCACATGTCAACTGCAAAAAAAGGCCAGTGGCTGCCTGCTATGCTCCGCTAAGGACTCTGGAGGAGGAAAGAGGGGTATCCTCGGTCAGCAACATCTATCCCTTGCTACCTCTGGGTAGCAGCTGTTGAACATATGATGGTAAAAATCACCAGGTATTACATAGCACATGATTAAAATGAGAAAAAAGAAAAAAAAAAACACAAACTCACCAGAAAAATCTATTATCGGTTGTGTGTTCTTGCATGCTACGATGTGCATTAAGACTCAGGTCTAAACTGATTCCAGAGGCAGACCATGCAAAATAAAAGTTTCCTGAATTCAAGACTTTTCGCACTTCTGAAATGCGATCCTCATCTGAAGAATCGATTCGTAGCGATATAAATTCAGTGGAAGTAACTCGGAAAACTTCAGATTCTTGAATTTTTCCAACAGACATACACCCAGTGACTAGTACCAAATAATGTAACATTGTATCACCTGCAAAAAACAAAGCATTCCTTGGATGAAAAATCCTAATACTTTCCGAGATATTCAGTTTCTTACGACTGTCTTTTGTATCTCCATCGTTTAAATCTGATATTGTGATTATTTTAAACTCATCACAGATGTGTTTAAATTCATAACTAGGAGCCAGTAGGTGGTATGGTGGTTAAGGAGGACTCCCACAGAGCTGACTATGGTTCGCATCCTGGACCTAGCAGCTTGAAAATCACACAGGCATGTGTGCGCGTATGCCCAAAATCCCAGCAGGAGAATGGAGAAGGGATTGCAGCATGAACACCCCCCACCCCCCACAGGGGAGTGATTTCTCACTTTCCCTCTCACTGTCTCCCTCTGGAAAACGTAAACGTCTATGGCAAAAACCTAAAAAACAAACAACAAACAAAAAAAACAAAAACCTAGATTTTTTTTAGTTAAAAATATTACTAGATTATATAATTTAGTATAATAAAGTATCTAAACATCAACATGATAATATACAAAATTGTTCCTCAATAAAAAGCTGACCAAATAAAAACATAGGTAGTATCTTTCTACCTTTCCTTTTAGGATTGTTAGAAAACCGAGGTAAGATGATGAATGTGAAAGTTTGCTGTAAACAGTAAGGTTCAAAACATCGTATATAAATGTAAGCTGATCATGATAACACAAAGGCAACAATCTCCAGTAACAATTAACAAAGCAAACAAAAACTTTCAGATTTTTTTTCATCTGATTATAATAAAAATTCTATGAAATTAACATGAAGCAGAAATTCAGCCATGGTGTACATTTCTTTTTGTGAGATATTTTTATTATAGAGTGTGTGTGATTGCTAGAGAGACAGAGAGAGACAGAGAGATAGAAAGTGAGAAATCATCCCCAGGGAGGATGGCCACAATGCAATCCCTTTTCCTCCATTCTCCTCAGGACCTTGGGCAGGCATGCACACACGCCCAGTGTGAGGTTTAAGCCACCGCATCTGGGACTTGAACTGCGGTCAACTACATGTAAGTCCAATGACATAACCATTACGCCATCTGCTGGTCCCAGCCATGGGGTACTTTAAGCACAGGCTCTGACACAGGCCCTGAACTCTGGTCCCAACTCCTCCTAACAATCCCAAGACACCGCACCTTACCGAATGTATCTCAGGGCTGTGAGGATGACCTAGTACTAATTACTGAAGCATCTAGGCACACCACACTTTACCTGTGGTGGATATATAACAAGTGACAAGTCTCTGTTTTACAGAACAGTTCTATTCAAAGTACGGTCAGTGGACTGCTACCAGTTCAAAATGAGAAAAGGTGTGTTTACCAGAATTAAAATCAGCTACATCATTAAGTTCACCCTTTAGTTTTAGCTGATTCTTATTTTTTCGTCCATACTAAGATTTTATTAATGAAATAAGCCATGTGTTGACTTGCATGATGGGGCAAGCTCGTTATCACAGACTAATAACAATAACAATATGGGACACATTTTGAGTTGTACCATTATAAATAAACTGCTAATCACAATGGTTATGCTCCAGCACATGATGACATAAGGTAGAAGAGACAGCCTCAAGCTGAAACTTTTAAAATTAAAAACAGGTGTCTTTTCCACTACAAACCAGGGAAATCAGTGTGGCTCCGACACAGACATCTTTTTCTAAATACATTAAAGCCAAAAAAAAAAAAAAAAAGGCGATGTTCTGATTTTCTCTTTTGAAAACTGATACCTATCTCTTCATGTGTTTCAATCAGACATGTCTCTGGAATTTAAAATCACAAGAGTTTGACCAAGTGTTGCCTTTTGGGCAATAAACATTATCACAAGATTAGCTTAATTAAGGTTCAAGAGATGCTAGGACAACTCAAATTTTGAGTCTCAAACAATATATAGGTAGTCTCTCAAATCATTACAATTACAAAACCTGGGGACCAGCAGAGGTCATAATGGTTATATCACTGGACTCGCACATGGTAGACTGTGGTTTGAATCCTGGACCGGATGGCTTCAAACTCATGCTGAGGAGACCAGCAGTTAGTGTAATGGCTATGTTGCTGGACTCCCATGTAGTCGACTGCCGGTTTGAGTTCGGACCCGGTGGTTTAAACTCACACCGGGCACGTGTGCGTGTGTGCCCAAGATCCCGAGAGGAGAATGGAGGAGAAAAGATTGCAGCGTGGCCATCCCCCCAAAAGTGAGAAATTGGGGGGGTTATTTCTCACTTTCTGTCTCTCTGTCTCTCTCTGTCTTTCTGGCGAGCACATGTGCCCTATAACAAAAGCAAAAAATAAATAAATAAAATAAAAAAAACTCATGCTGGGCACATGTGCATGTGTGCCCAGAATCCTAAGAGAATGGAAGAGAAGAGATTGCAGCATCACCCCCTTCAGGCGATGATTTCTCACTATCTTTCTGGCAAGTGGACATGCCCTATAGCAAAAATCTCTGTTAAAAAAAGAAATGACAAAAACAGAAATGAAAAAAGCAGATCAATTATACTGAATAATAAACTTACCAAGATTTAACCGTAAAACACCTAGGAGTCCATACGCATCCAGCACTTTGGAATATGTGCCCTTGATTGCCTCTTTCTCTGCAGATGCTACAAGAAAAGTTTCAGGTTAAGAAAAATGACTGGAAACATTCGACTCTATTTAGCTATAAGAGTGTTTCAACCAAAAATCTCTAAGTCTGATACTCTCTTTTTCTTCAGTGTAGATAAATCAAGTTCTATGGGAACAGGCTGTGTTACAACTTATTTGATTTGTTTACATGTTATCTATGGCTGCTTTCGTGCTAAAACAACAGAGATGAGTAGTTTGGCCCACCAGCCAAAAATAAATATTGCCTGGCATTTACAGACATAGCTTACCAACCATCGTAACAGTCCATTGATCTACTGACTGATTCTTAATTCATAATTGATGGCAAGTTTCCTTAGGTATTCTTATCTTTATTTCCAAAAGAGTACAGACTTATTGCATAAAATTACCAAAAAAATTTATTAGGATGTTAGTTGAGCATATTAACCTTATAAATAAATTTGGCAAGGACTGACTTTGTTAAAACATTATTTTCACCCAATACATGATTGAATCATAGTCCTCAGTTATGTGAATTTTTAAAAAATGTGTCTCTGGAAAGAATTTTAGCTTTCTCCCACATGTCTTCTATTTTTCATATTTTTTATTATTTATTTGTATGGCGTGTAATAACTATACATCTTCATGGGGTACACTGTGATTTTTCAGTACAATAATATATCTAGAGCGTAATGATCAAATTAGGGTGATCAGCAGTACCCATCATCTTGACCACTTGTCATTACTACTTTGTGTTGGGCACTTTCAAAATCCTCTTTTAGCTGCTGTGAGATATATGGTGAAGTATAGCCATCCTACTATACTTTATAACACTAGAACTTGTTCTTATCTTTCCATATTTTAGAAACAACGATCTATTGTTCTCTCTCCCCACTACTCTTCCAAGCCTCTAGTAGTCACTTACTTCTACAACTATGGTCATCCTTTTCAATTTCCACATACAAGTGTGACCATGTGCTACTTCTCTTTCTGTGCCTGATTTATTTCACTTAATATAATGTCCTCCAGGCTTTCCCTTGTTTCCTCAAATGTATGTGCGTATGTACAGCCTGAATCTAAATGTGACAAATCAATGAACAAACTCAAAGTGAGGGACGTGATACAAAATAACTGGCCATCATCTTCAAAATGTCTAAGGTTATGACACAACCACAGTACTGCAACACTCTGCAATGCTGGAAACCACAGGGAAGACTAGGGTCGCCAGGTGTCCTGCGCCCAGTTCCTTGGCTAGGAAGATGGAAAGACTGAGCATAAGACTCTGGTAAGGGTGCTTGTCTTCTCTCCCCACACCCTCTCTCTCCACTTTTTTTCTGTCCTTCATGAAAAGAACTGGGTATTAAAACAATTAAGAAAAATAGGGAGGTAAAGTATTAATGTCAAAATGTGGTATTATCTGTTGAAGATATTTTATAGTTTTATCAAGTGTATTAGGGAGAAATGTTCACCTGTTGAAATGTCCATTTTGTAAGACAAATAATAATGTGATTGAATGTATAAAAAATGAAATGAAAAGTAAATAAATTAATAAAAAATTTCTTTTAAAAATTTTAAGGTGATAAATTACAAACACTAAGGAATTTTTGCATTTGGAGAGACTAAAGAGACTTTTTTTTTTTTTTAAAGTGGCTTTTGCTACAGGGCGCATGTGCTCACCAGACAGACTGAAAGAGACAGAGAGACAGAAAGCGAGAAATCACCCCCCAGGGGGGGTGGCCGCACTGCAATCCCTTCTCCTCCATTCTCCTCTTGGGACCTTGGGCATGCACACACACGCGCCCAAGTTTAAGCCACCAGGTCCGGTATTCGAACTGCGGTTGGGAGACCAGCGACATAGCCATTACGCTAACTGCTGGTCCCTAAAGAAACATTATTAATAACTAAATAGAATTTTCAAATCTGAATTATATCTTTTTGCAATAAAAGACATTGTTGGAACAACTGAACAAAGCCTGAGGATTAGAAAGCAGTAATATGCCAATGTTAATTTTATTATGGTCCCCATAATTGTATATTTGAGAATGATAGGCCATGGTGTTAGCAACTTACTTTTTTTTTTTTTTTTTGGAGAGATTTTCACTGTAGGGCACGTGCGCTCGCCAGACAGACAGAGAGAGACATAGAGACAGAAAGCGAGAAATCACCCCCCAGGGGGGATGGTCACGCCACAATCCCTTCTCCTCCATTCTCCTCTCGGGATCTTGGGCACGCACGCACACGCGCCTGGCGTGAGTTTTAAGCCACCGGGTCCGGGACACGAACCGCGGTCGACTACGTGGGAGTCCAGCGACATAGCCATTACGCTAACTGCTGGTTCCTGCAACTTACTTTTAAATAGCTCAGAAAAGTTATTTTTCCTGCACTTCAAATTTTCTGTATGTTTTAAATTGCTTCCAAATTTTAAAAGTGTAATCAACAAAAATAAGTCTTAAAAGTATGTGTACTAGGGCTAGCAGGAGATTAAGTTAGCTGGATCCCAGAGCCAAAAGCATGGTTCGAACTCCGTACCTGATGCTTTTTGAAAAACACACTGTGTGTGTGTGTCCAAAATCCTGAGAGGAGAATGGAGAAGGGCTTGTAGTGTGGTCACCCCCACTGTGGGGGGTGGGGGGGTGGGGTGAGGTGAGGATGCTTTTGCACTTTCCCTCTTTTCCTATCTCTTTCTTTCTCACTTCTCTCTCTGATGAGTGCAGGTGTCCTTTTGCAAACTTAAAAAATAAAAGTGTACTTCTAAATTAAGCTTTTTTCTTTGAATGGCATTAAATAAGATAAATTATTTTAAAATAATTATTTTATTTAACTTTATTTACTTATTCATTCATTTATTTTAATTTGACCAGAGAGGGACAGAGTGAGAGAGAGAGAAAGTAAGAAAGCAAGCCACTAGGTCTGGGATTTGAACTCCGGTCAGCCATGTGAGAGTCCAGCACCCCTACCCACCATGGCCCAAAGACAAACTCTTAATAATACTTTGTGATTACTTTCTCATACATTTGTTTAAATGGGGGGGAGTCCTTATTTTATAAGACTATAAAAAATATAAAAATAGAGAAGACTGAGACCACCATAAGAGCTGAGACCTAGTGATTTCAGAGATAAGGGAATACAGATGTTCTGCTGAGAATTTACCCTGGCAAAAAGAAAGGGCAGGCCAGAACAAGACAGAATCCACTGTGAGAGCTGAGATCTAGTGATTTCAGAGATAAGGCAGTGAAGATGTCCTGCTGGGAATTTACCCTGGTAGAGCCCCTGGAAAAAAATGCAATGGCAAAGAGTTTGCAGACCACATCTTCCTGTGTGCCTCTGATCGCTCATATTGATCTTCTAGAAATTAGGAAGAAACAAATAACTCATCAGATGACCAGAAATCACTACAGGGGCACAAGAAATATGCGAAACCAAGATAATACCTCTCCCCCAAGGGAAGTGGATAACTCCTCTTCATCCACAGACAGTACAATGGAACTCATGGAAATGAGTCTGATAAAGAATTTAGAGTATTCATAGTAACAAAACTAACAGAGATGGAAGAGAAGAGAAACAATGAACACGAGAAGGAAAAAGCTGATGAGTTCCAGGAAGTGAAGAAGTTCTTGCAAGAGATGAAAGAGGAAATACAAACCATAAAAAAGAATCAAATGGAACTGTGGGAAATGAAGGCTATAATACAGGAAGTCAAAACCTCCTTTGAAAGTATTAAGCAAGACTAGATCATACAGAAAATTGAATCTCAGATGTAGAAGACAGGATCACTGGCCTAGTAAAATCCACCACGAAGATTGAGAAAATAGCCCAAAAAATGAGAATATATAAGAAATACTAGATACCATTAAACATCCAAACATCCAGATAATCGGTATCCCAGAAGGTGAAGAGACTAATAAGGGCATTGACAATCTATTCATAGTGTTCTTTCCATCTTGAATAACCTTTAGTCATCTTTGTATTTCCAAATATTACCCATCCTTCAATCCCAAACTAAAATGCCACTTCCCTTCCTGAAGTTGTCCTCTCTGACTGGAAGTATATTTCTTTCTTCTGTTTTATATAGCAATAGAAACTAAGCAAACTGATAGCAGTAGAACCAAGTCTCTTTTCTTTATATCTCAACATAATACCAATCTGAGACAGACTTTGAACACTGCAGATGCAAATTACTCATATAACAGACAAAAAAAGAGAGTGTGTGTTTTACTAAAGGAAATTACAAAACGAAATGTTTTGCTAACTTTAAAATAATACATAAAAGAGTAAATGTTTTTCCCTTATCATTGAAAGTATCTAAATGTTCTCTTATTGATGTTATTAACATTCAACAATTTTTCATGGTGATATCTGAAAATTTTCAAATATGTCATGGCAAAGACTGAGGGTGAACGTGAGAAGGTGGGGGTAGGGAGGACAAGCATTGTGAAATGACTGCTAACCAAGGTTTTAAGCTAATGGAGTTTATTAAATAGCAAAGTATGCAGAGTGTTCAGAGGAAACGAACTGAAGAATGAGTAGAAACCTAAGAAAGGGTGAGTGGAAACACGAGTTCGAGAGATACAGTGACACAGAAGCACAGTCACTTTCCTGCTAGGATAGTCTTTCAAGGTAGTCACTGAATAAACTGCCTTTTGTGAAGACCTGTGTACTTTTTTCCCCCTCTAACTCATGGTGGTTATTAAACGAACAGGATGCTAGAAAAAACAAATCTTTCCTTTTACAAGTTACTGACTTCTAATCGCAAGCAAGTATGAATGACCAAGAAGACCACTGTGTTAGGAGTAATTCTGGGCCGATCAAGATCTTCGCAGTTCAGCTAAGGTAAGCTGGCCAGTACCTCTTAGTTCACAAGTTAAACAGAAGCTAAGGCAAATCCAGACTTCTAAAGTTACTGCCCTAACGCCTCAGTGATAAATAGTACCTAACCCCCTCGATAGCTTATTTAAGGGACAAATTCTTCTTCCCACATCATATTCAACACTATCTTTCACTCATGCTTTTAATCTTTATT